TTCTTCTTCTGACCAGGGTGGCAAAATTTCATGAAAAATTAAATCTTGAAATTTCACGTGAAATATTTCATGATATATCAGAAATTTATGAAAGATCTTGAAAAATACCAATTCCTTTTCGTGTTTCGCAAAATGTAGAAATTGTGACTTTCTTCTATTTTTGTATGTTTGAGTGCGGGTTGCATACTGTACGCCCTAAAAAATATGAAATTTTTTCACAGCCTCGTGAAATTTCATGAATTATTTCACTGAAATATCATGAAATATTTCTTTGAAATTTCCAATCTTTCATTTGTTTCCGACGTTTCATGCCACCCTGCTTCTGATTAACAAAAGTTTCATTTCATTTGATACATCGTATCATTCAGACACAAAAATTTGCAAATGTTTTTTCTCATAATTATGTTTTATCATGGTAGATCGTGACTCGTATTCAAAGAAGTGACGGGGAAGATGTGAGTTAATTTGATCTATTTGCGGGCCACGAGTATTAAACTGTTGTCACCAGTAAAAAACGCCTTCAGTTTCGCGTAATACTGCACCGCTGACACCAGAGTTAAAATATTTGTATCAGAAATTACTCTGCAAAATCCTCCGCTTTTTCTAAATTCATGAAATGTATTGTCTCTCATTTAGTCGGAAAAGCCTCTATGGAAACTGTTAAAACTATCAAAATATAAAATGTTTAAATTAAATTAAATTAAAATTGCTTTGGAGACATTTATAATTACTCCTGAGACAGATTCTTTCCTTCGGAAGCCCCGTATCGACGGTGACGGTGAATTGAAAAATCTCTGCTCCAATTTATTTTTTTAAAGCAGAACTAATTAATATCATTCATCATAGTTTTTACGAAGTTTTCGTCGCTTGGAGAAGAAAAATCTCGTAAGTTCTCATGAATGGACGTTGAGTAGTTTTCATTTAAAAAAAAGTAAAGTATGACAGGAAGTCTGCAACGTCGAAAACCGAGATACGTGATTTGATAGTTTCATCGTCGACATGGTTTACACTGTGATTAAGGTATCGAGGAAATCTTTGACATAGCATTTTAAAAAAGGACAATTTTTGCTAAGTTGGAGTTATTTCGGAAATAGGCCCTTAAAAAGGAATTACGTTGCTTCACTACTGTAAAAAAAAACTGATGGAAAATAAATTGCAAGGTTTTGTAATTTTGCGGTAGGTCCGCACCCATCTGAAAGTTTTTCAAAGTCATAGAATTGCCTCCTCCTATTTTTTTCATTTTTTACATTATAGGTACTTTGGTTATTGATATTTTTAAAAATCACAAAAAATACAGCTAATAAGTCCATCCATCGAAACCTGCGGTAACTACTGGTACCGTCGCACAACAGAAGATCTCGCTTATTTTGACACCTTGTCCTTGCGATCAGAAGCGGAACCAGCAATTTGGCAACACCGAGTATCCTACATTTAAAGCTATGTTAAATAATCGATTATTGTCGAAGCATCTGGCCCCTCCAAGAATCGGTATATTTCCCCAGGTTTTTACAGAGAATTGACAATGTTGCCAATTTGCCGGATCCGCTAATGCTTGCGATCAAGGAATATCACGGGGTGAATGAACCGTCCTGCGGTGAAGCATCGCCGACGTGCGAATCTAGAGAAAGCAATGCGTCTTGCAAAACCATCCAACAGATCAGTGCCAAACCAGCGTTGGCATATTGGAGAAGTATCTAGTTTTCCCTGGAAGGAAATTATAAAAAGATCGATCGATTCGGCAAAGTTCGGATTTGAAAAAAAGGTCAAATGATAAGCGGCATACTGAGAGGCAAATTGAATCATTTGTTGAATGAGCGTCATCTTCTTCGATTGTTCCTTCAAACCGAACCGTTATTTCAAAAGCGTGCCCTACGCGAAGGAAAAACGCCATTAGAACCTTTGACGTTGCCAGATGTCCTTCACTAAAAATCGAATTTACTCGGAAAATTTTAAATATTTATTTTTCAAAATTTTAAGAAAATTTTGTTCGCAATCTATATATTTAATATCCTAAGGCCTTTTTTGGCCTCCAACAGTTTGTGCTAATTCGATCTCGGAAACTACTGGACCGATTTTGCTCGGATTTGTTTTAAATGAAAGCTCTTAGGCTGTAGACGTGCCAACATTCCTTAGTTTTTCGATTTGCGAGACCGACGTTGCAAAATTTACCTCGATTTGGTAACGACATGCTTGCGTTTTTGACGTTGGACAGTTTGTGCTAATTCGATCTCGGAAACTACTGGACCGATTTTGCTCGGATTTGTTTTAAATGAAAGCTCTTAGGCTGTAGACGTGCCAACATTCCTTAGTTTTTCGATTTGCACGACCGACGTTACAAAATTTACCTCGATTTGATAACGACATGCTTGCGTTTTTGACGTTGGCCAGTTTGTGCTAATTCGATCTCGGAAACTACTGGACCGATTTTGCTCGGATTTGTTTTGAATGAAAGCTTTTAGGCTGTAGACGTGCCAACATTCCTTAGTTTTTCGATTTGCGCGACCGACGTTGCAAAATTTACCTCGATTTGATAACGAAATATTTTCGTCTTTGCCGCTGGACGAGTTATAAGGTTGGGGGACCTCCCACCCTCTGATTTTCCGTTTCCCTCTCCACGTAAACCCATCCCTACCTGCCGTTAGTACGTGTCACCCTTCTGCTCTGGCATGGGTCCTTTGTCAGTATCACTCCCTTTCTTATGCCGTCTGACTCGGAACACCTACTACGCATTTCCTCCGTCGAATTGCTCATTATCAGTTTTCGGTTTGTCCAGGTTTCTCAGTAGTGGGTCTAGAGTTTTGCTTTCATGATTTTATCATTATAGTTTTTTTTTACATGAAAATTACTTAATTTTGATGTGTATTTTTCAGAGGATAATTTTCCTTTTTACGGCAGCACAGGTTTTATTAATAATTAACTTTTTTACAGCAGCTCATGTGTTCTTCCAAGAGAATCGGTGATTAATGTTCACCCTTTCGCACCGTTAAATTTTCACAAAGTGTTTTTAATTTTCTTTTCAAGGAGTGTTTTTTATTTTTCAAAGATGTTTCTTTTTCTAGAAGTAGGTGGTTATCATTATCAGTTTCTTATTCTTTGTTTTTGAATTTATCATTTTTTTATCATTTAAAATTTTCCTGGAAGTCCTCTAATTACTCGTAGTAGCAAAATTTGGCTCGCGAAGCGAGCCAACATTCACTCGCGGAGCGATTGACTGGGGGTCCAGGGGGCGAAGCCACCGGCTAGCGGCGCAAGCGAGCGTAGCGAGCTGAAGCAGCTAGTTTCATCTTAAATATCTAAATTTTCAAGGGAGAACACGCATAACTTTCCTCATAAATACATGTTTTATCCGGGGAAATTTGGTGACTCTCGAATGTTTCTTACGGCGTTTTTCCTTAGCACGGCAGAGTAGGACAAGGAATTGTTGGAGTGATTCCAAATCAATCTCTTCTGAGGCTGTCTAATGATCGTTCATTCCCGCATATTTTCGAAAATGAGACAGTCTCAGCACCTCACTAATAAGTTCTTTGGTCACATAGATTTTCATTTTTTGTCACAGTTCGCTCTACCGTTCTACCGGACTTTCCATGTTTTTTGCGGCCAGCGGCAGGTGATAGTTCCTATCTAAATCCGTATTATTCAGATTTTGGAAATATGACGCAAGTTATTTCGTATATAACGTGACAAAGTTGTGAAGTCTCTCATTTAAACCATGTTAATGCTCATTTTTTGCTATTAAACTTTCTCTGAATTTTCTTCATACATGTGCAATGCTGAAACAAGAAAATGTCAGAGAAAATCACCTAAAAGTTTCCTCTTTCAAATATAAATTAGCATTGAAGATTCTGAAACACCGCAAACAAGGGATGTCCTTTTTGCACCCAACTCCTCAATTGTAAAAGCAAAACAAGAAAACAGTGGAAACAAGGTAAAATACATAAAAATACAAGGGATATTTCGGCATCTCACGATACCATCAACATCCGCTAAAAAAATACAAAAAAAAAGAAATTAAAATCATAAGAGAAATCAAAATCAAATAAAATCAATTTTTTTTTATTTTTGTATTTTTTAGCGTTTGATAATGGTGTCGTGAGACACCGAGACGGCCCGTGTATTTTTAAGTATTTTAGCTTTGTTTCCACTGTTTCCTTGTTTTTCTTTTACTATTTCCGTTTTGGGCTGCCTGTGTACCTTTGTTATTGTTCCCCTCAATTGTTCATACCCGTATACTTCAACTTTTCATGTTTCTACGGATCTTGGTGTTTCCTTGGAAATTTTAAAACCACCTAGTGTAACACAAAAAAAACCACAAAAAAACAAACACACAAAAAAAAATGGAAAAATTTCATTGCCTTCACTGAAATAAAAATGTGCTTGGCTCAAGCATGACGATATCTTAAATTTGCCGTCATGAATTGTTTTTATCTTGATTTAAGCTGAATTTTTCTTGATATAAGGAAAGTAAGGCTTGCACTGAGAAAAAAAGTTCGGTAAATCCGAACTAGTTTGGATCATATGAAACCACGATTTTGTTCGGTACACACAACCGAATTATTCGGTCTGTTCAACCGAATTGCTCGGTTTGTGCAACCGAACTATGATAAATTCTTACAGTTCGGTTCAGTGGACCGAACAGTTCGGCTGAGCGGACCAAATAATTCGGTCGTGTGTACCGAACAAAATCTTGGTTCCATATGAACCTAACTAGTTCGGATTTACAGAACTTTTTTTCTCAGTGATGGGTTAAGGAAAAAAGGAGTTTACATTAAGCAGCAAAATTCTTGATTTAAGGAAAATTACCTCTTGGCGGCAAATTTAAGATTCTTTTCTTTTTCGTGTTGTCGGCATCACTGGTTACGAAACCTCGTACTTTATTCGGCCAGTGCGGCAAGCGCGCGACATACCGCGACGTCGCGAGGGACCGCGGTCCTCCGCCGAAGAGTGAAAGTGCCCCCCAGCCCCCCCCCCCCTGATGGGACGGCCGTTGCGGAAGGAAGAGAGTACTTGGGAGTGTGTAGCGTGAGAGGCGGCGCGTCCGCTTTCGGATATCCTTCGTTGTTGGTTACACAACCACCGTGCTTTCGGCTCTCAAAAGTTCCCCGGCCCCCAGTTCCACAGCGCCGCCCGATAGTGTCGTTTCGATCGGATTACATCCAGGTAAGAGAATCCTCAAGTGAATTTTTTTGACCATAAGACACAAATACATACATAAAGCCGCTTTTATAGCGCCGCCTCGCGCTCTGCGACGCCCAATCGCTATTGCCCCCGGAGGATAAGACACAAATTCCTGTTCAATATCACATCGGGTAGTGCCAGGGTGTCTGTCTAGTGACCTGGGAAACCGGGAAATGTCAGGGAATTTTTATTTGTGTCAGGGATTTTTTTTGTGTCAGGGAATTTTTTTTTTGTGTATCGGGGAAATCAGGAAAAACGTCAGGAAATCTACAAAAATGCGGTGCGTCAGGGAATTTTATTTTGCAAGCGATTTTCGTGCTAGCAAAACGTCAGGGAAATCGAAAAACACGGATTTTTTTTTCTGAAAATTGATGATGAATCGAGTTTCAGAAAAATTTAATCGATATCAAAATTTCCCCCGGCCTCCAGTTCCAGAGCGCCGCCCGATAGTGTTGTTTCGATCGGATTACATCCAGGTAAGAGAATCCTCAAGTGAAACTTTTTGACCAAAAGACACGAATCCCTGTTCAATATCACATCGGGTAGTGTCAGGGTGTCTGGTGACCTGGGAAACCGGGAAATGTCAGGGAATTTTTATTTGTGTCGGGGAATTTTTTTTTGTGTCAGGGAATTTCTTTTGATGGGGAATTTTTTTTTTGTGTATCGGGGAAATCAGGGAAAACGTCAGGAAATCCACAAAAATGCGGTGCGTCAGGGAATTTCATTTTGCAAGCGATTTTCGTGCTAGCGAAACGTCAGGGAAATCGAAAAACACGGATTTTTTTTTCTTGAAAATTGACGATGAAGCGAGTTTCAAAAAAATTTAATCGATATTAAAATTTCTACAAGAATTTCCGCTGATGTCTTTTAACCAATCTCTTCCAATCTAATTTATCCGTCCCATTAGTAAAATCACCTACCTGCATAGGGAAAATGATGGGGCGGATGTATTCCCTGCTCTGAGCCAATGATAGTAGTTCTCGATTGTAAAAGATAGTCTGATTATTTTTTCTGCCCATGGACATCATGCATTAGGATACAGTTTATTTTGAGTGGACATGAAATTTTATGATGACCACTGGGATTCCAATGGGTTATTCTTAATAAAAAATTTACTTTTTAAATTAAATATTCTACAAAAAGTAAGGAAGAATAGGCCAAATGGAACCAAAAGTTTAACTTAAAAAGGTTGCACAAACGCATCAGGCTCTGCACCAAACATGGTTCTGCCGAGTAGTGTGAAAAACACCCGTATAGCTGGAATTTGCTCTCAGTGCAAAAAATGCGAACATGGTGTAAAATTAAATTTTATTCGATCGAATTCATGGAAAAGGTTATAGGCCAAACATCATGATGCGTGTTTTTTCACCAGAACTACACAACAAATGCAAGTTAATTAATTTTTTTCATTTTGTTTCTTCCTTTTCAAATTTAACCTTTAACCGATCAGTAAAAAACTGCAGTTGTCTTAAGATATAAAACTCTTAAATGACTGAAAATACCAGAGCCTAGTTGATGAAAACGGGCGTTTAACTAATTAAAGGTGCTCGTGATGGAATTTAATAATGAAGTAATTCTCTCCATCAATCGAGGGTTTTTTTTTGACAGGTGCATCAACTGCATCAAGAGAACCTTGTTGAATGATGGATTCGTTCTCGAGGATTACTTTGACTGATTCAGTTATTTTAGAATTTTTTTTCTCGAAACCAATCAATTTAGATGCAAGCAGTGACCGGTATTCTCTTCTTTACGCAAACCGCGGAAGTTATTTAAACACAATTACATGTGATTTTGGAAAAAGTTAAGGCAACTAGTCACGTATTTTACATGAAATTTTGACCGTAGTAGTACGGCTTGAAAAAAAAAAAAAACTCCCAGGAAACGTGTAAAACTGGCAATTTTTCGAGTTTGAAACCAGTAGTTAGAAAATTTCAAAAGTCGTAATTCGTAGGATTTTAAAATGATTTATCTTCAAAATTCCGCGAATAAAGATGTAGAAAAACATAAGGAGAGTAAACTGTCTTTTTTTATGATCTTGTTTCTACGAGTAAATTACAATTTTTTTTTTTTTTTTTTTTTTTTGGGGGGGGGGGTTAAAAGTCACGGAGTAATTCTGGAGGATAAAGAAAGTTATCCCGCGATTCTTCAACGTTCTCAGATCCAAACACAAACATTAAAATAAAATTTTCCTAGGGATATACTGATATAATTTATGACTTAATTTCCCGATAGACTCTACGATGGATATCAGCTATAAGAATCTCGAGGGCCCAGTCGCCAAGAAACTCGACACCATGTTTGGCGTGGAGAATTGTTTAATAGAAGTCTACCCTGGGAAAGTATTGGTGCCCCCAAAATACAAGGACTTGGGCGAGCGGATAAGAAAAATGACCGTTCGTCCTGATGACACTTTCCTCGTGTCTCTTCCCAGGACAGGTAAGTTTTTCATCAGCAAGTTTCATGTTTTTGATAAGCAAGATTAATGCATGCAAACTTTAAGCCGCTAACAGGCACAGGCTCCAATAAATTGCGATTACATACTTAGCACAATAATTGAATTGCATTTTGCAAAAAGGAGCATTGCTAGCATTGCAATGATGCTAAGATTGTGCAACTTCATCCTTTGCAATAAAATTGCGGAAATTGTGAAAAACTATGAAATTTAGATGGTAATTTTGTCTTAAATTTACAGTTTTTAGCGAGTAAAATAGAAACTATTAAGGGATAACCGGGCTTTTCCTCCAAGACAAAAGAAGTTGCGCAATCTTAGCAACATTGCAATGCTAGTGGTTCCTTTTTGCAAAATGCAATCCAATTGTGACTACGCATCGGAGTGTAGTGCATGTTGCCCGTACGCTAATTGAAGGGGCTCCTCCGGTTAAATTTAGATAAGCTGCAATGTCATGAACTCTGCACTGAAAAATACCTTCCCTACTGGTTTATAAAAATCTTTTTATTGATTGTTTAAAATTGGCATTTGTTGACCAAATGATGTAAAATTATTGACATTTCATGCTAGAACATTGCATCTTTATTGCACTAGATTGCATTTATTTCGATATTTCGTTGCACTGCGTCACTTGCGTCCAAGGTATTCCGATGAAATTTCAAATATATTGCAGATTTATATTTTAGAGTAAATTATAATAATCATGATATATAAACTAGCGCTTTCCTTTTTTAATGCACATTGCCTATACGAGTAATAACTTACAGTGGCGTGGCGTGCTTTGCGTTATATCGACTGATCTGCCATATTTAAACCTATGGTAAAGGATCGATTAGCAGGGTGTTCGTGACGAACACCTTAATAATCGATTCTTTACCGTAGCTTCAATGGGGAAATATCATATGCCTCGCCACTGATAAGCTCCGATTCCCGGGGGCTTAGGCATGACTAAAATGCACCAAAATACATAGGCTGTCCCAAAACAACTGAGAGTAAGTCTGTATTTCAGAAACAATAATAGATATTGAAACGCGGTTTGTGGGAGGTTGTAGCTCATATCTTTAGCTATCCAACGAGCCCAAGATTTGCTATTTTGGTCAAAATTTCGCTGAGTTACAATAATTTTTTGGAGCCGTGTAAAATAGAACCCTACAGGATTTTTGAGTATTTTTTTCCTTGTCTGAACTGTTGTTCCGAGATCGCAACTTTGCGGATCACGTTGGCACTGGTCTAGATGCAAGTTCTAACATGTTTGCATGTAATTTCATTGCATATCAGAGTTTTCTTCAACTTCCCAGCTCAGGGAAGCCAACATTGTCCAGCGTTAATGACACTTTCTTCCTCCGCCGCAGAAGTTGACGGCCGGCCGCCATGCGGAATCAAAGCTGCCGACTCGCGACCCTCGGAAAAAGCTGCATGCCACCGATAAATGGTGCTCTCCCCAAGTCGATTTTCTCCATAAGCAGCTAACATCTCTTTCACGGTATCAGAGACAGTTAAACCTTGGTAAACACAGTGACGGATGACATAGCGTTACTCTTGTTTCAGCTCCGCAGGCGAACTCATTGCACCAAACGAGAACACGTGTCATTAACGCTAGACAATGTTGGCTTCACTGAGCTGGGAAGTTGAAGAAAACTCTGATATGCAATGAAAGCACATGCAAACATGTTAGAACTTGCATCTAGACCAGTGCCCACGTGATCCGCAAAGTTGCGATCTCGGAACAACAGTTCAGACAAGGAAAAAAATACTCAAAAATCCTGTAGGGTTCTATTTTACACGGCTCCAAAAAATTGCTGTAACTCAGCGAAATTTTGACCAAAATAGCAAATCTTGGGCTCGTTGGATAGCTAAGGATATGAGCTACAACCTCCCACAAACCGCGTTTCAATATCTATTATTGTTTCTGAAATACAGACTTACTCTCAGTTGTTTTGGGACAGCCTATGTTTGCCAAAATAATTTTGCAGCTGGAGCAAAGACGCGTGAGACTTGTCTTATTGGACGTTCAAAATTGGCATGTATATACCAAATAATGTATAAAATATTTTCATTAAAAAAAATAAATTTCACTGCATTATATTCCAACTCTATTTTAATATTTTCATTTTGGCGCGTATACGTAGTATACCGCCTTTTTTTTATTTTTCTTTGTTTACTTGCCGCTTAGGAGAGAGTGCCTTTGATAATGTGAGTGCCAAGCGCTTGCAAACAGGATGAATGAAGTGTCTGCAGTGATCAAGAGTTTTTTGCGGAGACTCATATGTATGCATATATTTTCATTTTCAGGGAGTACATGGGCTCAAGAAATGGTCTGGTGTGTAGGGAACGATCTGGATTTTAAAAAAGCAACAGAAGTATTGAGCTCAGTCCGAACTCCTCTTCTAGAGTAAGTGCTTGTGGTTTTTTTCCAAAAAAAAACTTCCCGCTTTGAAAATATGCCAGATTTACTTTCGATCTAATCCTAAAATTAATTTCTTGAAAAAAAAAAAAAAAATAAAAGTTCATTCATTCAGATAAAGAAAAATTATTTTACTACTTTAGCAAATGAAAATACAACTTTACAATGAGTGCATTCGTGAGATTGTAATTTTTACAGAGTGAACACTTGTTCATCACCGAAATCAAGCCTTTTAAAACTGCGTATAGGCACCTCAAAGATTGGAATCGGTAGGTACATTATATCTTATCTTATTTAATAATTACTCATTTATTTTTATTAGATTAACAGCTTTAGTTGGAAACGATAAAAGGCCATGGACAGGAATGTTTGGAAATTCCGTTGAAACCGTAGAAAACCTTGCATCTCCCAGATACATCAAAACACATTTGTCCCTGGACTTGCTGCCGGCACAGATAGAAACAGTCAAACCAAAGGTTAGTCCCACAATTTTTGTAAAAAAAGATAATATTTTTTTAACCACGCCGAGGGGATTTATCATTGAGATTTCTTGAGGGATTTGGAGGACAAGGCGCATAAGTGCAGTTTTTGAAAAAATTATATATTAATGTTTTCGAGTAAAACTAGTCTCAATGCATGTTCAGGGAAAAAGGTTGAGTGCTCAGTGTTGAGGTTTATAGTGTCCTTCTTTTAAATTTAATTTGTTTTGCCGTTGAAAATGCGGGTGTGATCCCTGCGAAACGTCCCGGGCTTTTTAGTTTATTTTATGTGTTATTTTTATTATTTTGCGGCCTTAGTCCCGATTTAAGGTGTTTCTTTGTTTTTTTTTGTTTTTTTTTTTAGTGAAAAATTCGCTCTCAAATTCAAATCTTTGAGCATTAAAAAGTCGATTTGAACTCTCTTTCCGGCATATGGACCCGTGCAATGTCTGCACTTGAAACACGTATTTCTCAAAATTGCAAGAACTGTACATTCGACGGTTGCCATTTTTTGTGTCACAGCGACGTGCGATACATCGCATCAATTCGTTCCATAATTTCAGCTAATTTTCATTTTTTTCGAATTTTTAGATCGCGCTTCTGTTGTCAAGAGACTAAAGAATTCATGTACCAAATTTGACAAAGAAATTCAACGTAATAAAGGCAGAATTTTTTCAGAGAAAAAATATCGCACTCGATACTGATATCCAAACTGCTCTCGAATGCGATTTTTTCCTCTGAAAAAACCCTGCCTTTAATACATTAAATTTATTTAATTGTCTTTGGTCCATGAATTCTTTAGTCTCATGACAACAGAAGTGCGATCTCAAAATTCGAATTTTTTTTTTGGAAAATAATATTCAAAATTTTCCCAGTAAAGTCGGTTTTTATATCCGAGGAAACTTGGCAACATCTGAAGGTTCCTACGGCGTTCTTGCTTAGTACGGCAGTGTTATCCACGAAAATTATACTTGTTTTTTCGGTGTTTTTATATAGATTGTCTACGTGACGAGGAATCCGAAAGATGTGTGCGTATCTTACTTCCACTACTGTCGGCTGGTCCACGAGCTGGTCGGCGGGACGTTCGAGGACTTCTGCGAACTCTTCCTCCAGGATCGCGTCCCAATGAGTCCCTTCTGGCCGCACGTTCTCTCCTTCTGGAACCGGAGACACGAACCCAACGTCCTCTTCTTGAAGTACGAGGACATGAAAAGAGTAAGTTTTTGTATACAATTTGGACGTATTCCTATCAAACGGAACTATGTGCACTGTGACGTGAGCCCTGTTATGCGTATATTATTATGGGTCTCAGGGCTCATGTCTTAATGCACATAGTTTTGTTTGGGGCATGAATAGGACTTATTTCTGCCATTCGGGACTATATCGACGGTGAAACTACCAAACCACGTATCTCGGTTTGCGACGTCGCAGACTTCCTGTCATACTTTATTTTTTAAATGAAAAACTATTTAACGTCCAGTCTTGAAAATTTCTGTGATTTTTCCTCTTCGTACGAAAAAATTCTGTGAAAATTTCAAGGAATGATATTGATTTGGTCGACTTCGAAAAAATAAAATGTGAGCGTAGATTTTTAAACACCGCAAACGAGATACGTGGTTTGGTAGTTTCACCGTCGATATGCATTATGACATAGGTTAAAATTTCTAAAACAGCAGCCGGTGCCACTGATGATATCAAAAACATAGGAGAAAAAACGGGAAACAAGGCTAAAAACTACACATAAAAATCCGAGACGTTTCGGCCCAAAACTGAGCCATTTTCAGTCGGAGGAATAAAAATAAAATATGAAAATTCCAATTAAAAACCTGTAGACTACATGACGGCCGAGAAAACTTTATTGCATTATGACGTGAGTCCTGTTACGGATATATTCTTACGGGTCTCAGGGCTCATGTCTTAATGCACATAGTTCGGTTTGGCAGAAATACGTGCAATAAATTTTACATTGTGAAGATAGGGACTCAAAACTCGGCTTAAGGGGAGCCAGACACCCTATCTACCCAATGTTAACGTTTGTACCTTTTTCTCAGGATCTACTGCACAAAATTTACTTCTCTTTTTTTGTTTTGAACTTTGAATCCTCCTGATCATTTTAACCCGGGCTTTTTTTTAAAATTTAAAAATTTGAAATTTTGGTAAATTTTTGAAATTTTTTTGTTAGAAATCATAGAATTTGGACATTTGAAATCAAATTAAAAAAATCCAGCTCGAAATTTTGAAAAAGCTCGTGCTAAAATGTGCAGGAGAGTGCAAGGATTAGAACAAAACAAAGTTTTTGAAAATCGGTTCAGTAGATCCTGAGAAAAAGGTACTTGAGTGCTGGAAAATGTAGTTCTCGGGAAATGAGGAATTAAAACAGGAGAGAACATAGCGAGGGAGGGCCGAGCAACCTGAGTTTTAGTGTAATTTTGACTTCAAAAACTATAAACCTTCCCTCACAAAAACGCGCGTAACTTCAAAACTACTCATCAGATCAAGTAAAACTTGGTCTGAAATTAAACGTGAGGAGTTGGAGATTAAGATTAGCCAGAAAATAAAAAAAAAAAAAATTTTTTTTCAATTTCCAAGTGTCTGGCTCCCCTTAACGAATTGGTTGTGTTGACAGGACGGGCGGAAGGCGATCCGGCAAGTGGCCGAGTTCCTGGACAAGAAGCTCTCGGACGAGGAGATCACGGCTCTGGAAGACTACCTGAGCTTTGACAAGATGAAGGAGAACCCTTCGGTGAACCTGGAGCCGATCGTCAACCTCATGGGCAACGTCAACACCCAAGAGAAGTTCATCCGGAAGGGAGTCGTCGGCGACTACAAGGCCCACATGAACGAGGAGATGATCGCCAGGTTCGACAAGTGGATCGAGGAGAACACCAAGGGCACCGGCCTCACTTTCGAGTGAACGAATGCAATACACTCCTCTCTCAAAGTGGCAGGTCTGCTTATATATTCTCTCCCTGTATCTATTCATAGAGGGTTTGACTAGGCATAGAGATACTCTCTCACAACGTAGGCGGCACATTCCATCACGGCATCAACTTTCAGAGCCTTTTTTGAGTTAGGGTGTTTCATTCGAAAAAAAAACAAATGATTTCTTTGAGTTTACTGAAAAATTTTACGTTAGGTAAAATATGTACTTAAATCGCACATCCTTCAATCAAGAATTCAAAAACTCAATTGAAGATTCTCACTTTTTTGAGTTCAACTTCTTTTGAAGAGTTGCTCCCAAGTTGTTTTGCGTGCCCCGGAAAACTTTCTGACAAAGGGTTTTCTCACCCTCCCTGAGAGAAAAACAAGGTCGTAAAATCGTTAACTACCATCTAAAAAGTGAACGTATCACATGTATTAATGATTAGATATCGGACCTATGCCAAAATTCACGAGAGGGTTGCATTCTAAAACGATGTATTATTCTTTCCCCATCTTTAAATCAGATTTTTAAAGACGCCCTCAGATAACATGTGTTACAAGTGGTTCATGATTGGCTCCTTATTGGAAAAAAAAAAACAAAAAAAGGAGAAGCCATCATTGCTTGTAACTTTCCATCTGAGCGTCAGAAGATCATCCGTGAAAGAGGAATAACCGCTAGTGCTAAAGATGTTTGCTTACTCGTTCTCAAAATGGCCAAAGATTCTATTTTTTTTTAAATTTTTTGAAAACTGAAGTTGAACTATACATATGATAAGCTAATAAGTAACGTAACGGCAACTTTTGTGCTTCATCATCAACCTATTGCTTTTATCCATGTACCATATCATTTTGCTTTAAATTTTAACAATTGTATATTCGTGTGGTATGTGTGTGGATTTAGTGTGTGCGAAATGTGTGTTTTGAAAATATGTTGAATTAATTACCTAAGAAATCTCATTGTTTATCCATTGTTAAGGATATTCTCAGGAATATTTTGAGCTAATGTTCCCTTGACCTGTAGGCGATTGGGTAAATAAAACTTGTTCTCAAGCGAGTGTCTTTCATATTTTCCTTCTTCTCACTTTTAATACTTGCTGTGAGCACGAAAAAACAACAAAAACTATGGACAGATATACATCATGCAGGCAGTAATCAGCGAAAGAAAACCAAATATTCAGGAGAGGGATGGGTCTGCTCTTTGAAGTTGTTATCAATGGTGTACCTTATTCAAAGGCAAACTAGCTCCTCGAAGCGGCCCCGGAAATCGCCAACAGACCAGCCAATTGCGGTGCCACGGCGGCCTTCCTCCCCCCCCCCCTAATTTTTCGATCGTTGACATACGTGTACCTAGATCATTTTGCAAACATTGCCGAAGATAAGTTAGATTGTCGGAGTTCATTTTTGTGTGAGTATGATACCCAAAAATATTTCCCTAAAAATTTGCCATATTTGTGATAAAAAAAAAAAAAAAAAAAAAAAAAAAAAAAAAAAAAAATCCCTCTTCTCTCTGGACTTAGCTAAGTTCGGCGTTTTCCGGACGGTAGAACGTAACATTATTCCAACTTGAAAAATTTCTTACCGTAAATTATGTTTTCACCGGAAAACATACAGGATTACAAAATCTCCACAATCCTGTGATCGTAGGATTGCAAGCTCGCGCTGTGCACTGTTCTTAAGTGGTGCACACGGCGGTTCGACATCAAGAAAATACGACTTTTTCACGACTAGAGCGCGCATCGTGGTATATGCGCAGTGAAAGAAGTATCCGGCAGACTTGTAAGACGCTGAGCTATGCGTGGTGCGCTCCGTGCTGTATGCGCAATGCATGAAGTATCCTGCGGTCCTGTAAGGCGCTACTATGCGTTTTGCGCTGGGCGCGCTAGCTCCGTGTCGGCCGAACTGTTTTTGACGTGATCAATCATCATCCTCTCTTTTTACGGGCATAAATTGTTCAAGTAATCATGGTAGAATCTCAATAAATAGCTCCTTCTGAATCCTATCTTAGTTTTAAATACATTTACACGTAAAATACGAGCAGAAGCCGCTGTGATCAGAAAGAATCCGCTATCTCTCTACCGCTTATACTCTGCAGACGTAGACAATACTTATTGAATCAGTTTCACTTCGTTGACAAAAAAAATGGAAACAGTTTACAGAAACAGTGCCTTTTGAGTTTTTTCCTTGGTTTTTCTTTTGCTTTTTTTTAAATTCCGAAATTAAAAAACGGAGGAGCATGCTTAGCTGGACATACTTTTTAGTGGTCTCTGATTATGAATTAAAATTTTGGGATGCTTGAAAAAGGAAGTGTTTCGAGCTCAATACACTTTTTGAGTTCATACTACACAATAGCCTCTTGAATGATCCTTGATTTCAGAAATGTTCATCTAGAAACAATCCTTTGGTGTATTTTTAGTTTATCGTCTTTCATAATTCATGCTTTTATCATACTGAACGTCATCATTTTTTTTTATTTAAAATTCAGAGATTTTATTGATACGCTCAGATAATTCTCAATAGGAATAAGATAAGTTAGACTTTTTGGAAACAGCCGTCTTGATGAGATTTGACAGATAACAACGTACCTCTGCCAGTTTTACAAGAGAAAAAGGGGTTTCCTTTTTCCATCCCGTCGATGAATTGGACTGCATTTTGAAATTTGCAACTATAAATTCTGGCTCTTCTGAGAAAGCACTTATATGCATAGGAAAACTAATGGCACATATGTTGTCTTTAAACCGGGCTAGAATTTATAGTTCCAAATTGCAAAATGTAGTCCAATTTACATTCTTTTTCTTGTTCTCACGAGCTGCAGTTCGAGATTGAGTAATATTTATTTTCTCAAGTGTTCAGTTTGACATCGCGGGGCAGTTTCAACTTTAACTTATCATACAGAAAATCTGGGAAGTAGATGAATAGTTCCCGTTAAATTGTAGGCGGTGCATTTAAGAGAGATATGAATCTCAAACATTTAGATGAAAGATATAAGACCCATTAATATAAAGTTATAACTCGTCAAGCCTAATTCATTGTTACCGAGATCATTTGTTCAGTCAAGTTCACAGAATCCTCTCCACGTAAGTTTTTTCTCTCAACTTTACTTTTCTTTAATAAACGGAAGTATCCATGCTAAAAGGATTAACTATGGAACACACAAACTCTTTGCATACAGTTCTTTTTAGCATTAATAGCCTTGCTAAAAACGGTGAGTACAAGTGAGTAGAAAATCAAAGTTATATGAATACAGAATTTCAACTTATTTGAATAGAATTTAACTCATATGAGTAGAATTTCTCTATCCAATTTTCGCCAACTTCTATAACTAGAGATTCCAACTCATATGACTATAGATTTCAACTCACATGAGTTCAGAGTTGAATCTTCCGTGTCCGATATCTCAGAAACTTGTCACCGCATCAAAAAATTATAAAAACAAAATAATTTTATTTTTCAAATTTACATAGTATGTCGTTGTCTCCTGGGCAGAAACAGCACTTCTGAAAAATGAAAAAAATTGAATTCATATGAGTTGAACAATTCTTCTCTATGAGTAAAATATTCCAGTGATATGAGTAGAATTTCCTCTCATACTTATGCGTAGGATTTCTACTCATATAAGTAGGAAGTTCTACTCATGTGAGTTGGCGAATTCTGAATAGCTTACTCGTCATTTTTAGCAGGGAGTTCAAATGTGACCGTCCAGGGGAAAAAATACCATCTTATTTCGGCACTTTCCGGCTAAATTATCTCAAGCACCCTGCGACGTTTAACAATTTCCGCGGCCATTTAATTTGTTTTCAGAGAAATTCGACAAAACTGTCCTTGGGTCTGCAAAGACTTCCTCTCAAAGGAACTATGACGTATATTATCTCTATTTATAATGGAGGGCTAACGACCTGAAACCTCTGTTCGGCAGAAGATTTACCAAGATGAGAGAGAAGACGGGTGGTGGCCTTTTCGGGAGTTGGCCGGCCTACAGACGTTCGTCGATAAAACGGGGTTCATCAAACACTTTCTGGACATCCGTGAGCAGCTCGTCCTAGTGGCGCCGACCAACCTCGGCAAATCCACCAACCTCCACCATGCTCAAGCACTTCTTCCAGATCCCCGTCCACTCCACAGGTGCCAACCTCACAGTCTACATGACAGAAAAAGCCACCTTCTTCGGCCATCCCGCCATCTGCAAGAAGCAACCCTCCATCTGCAAGAAGCAACCCTCCATCTGCAAGAAGCAACTCTCCATCTGCAAGAAGCAACCCTCCATCTGCAAGAAGCAACTCTCCATCTGCAGTAGTCATCTATCCAGGTGACCACAAAATTCTAAAGTACCTGCTCTGCGGACCGATTATTGAAATTTATAGACAAAGCTTTATAGACAAAGAAAACATAAGGAGTATAGAGCGATCCTATTGGTTGAAATGGGTGGTTCTCATAGACTAAGGGGGTAAATGATGGACTAACTATCTGGTCTCTCGTGGGTTGCCGTCAGTTGGTCTATTACCTACGTCCTTAGTCCATCGCAACCACCCGCTTCCACCAATAGGATCCCTCCATATCCTTTTTGTCTCCTTTGTCTATTGCTTTGTCTATCAATTTCAATAATCAGCCCGCTGAGAGGAGAGTGCGGACCTGTCTAAATATAGTCGACAAGAAGAACACTAGATAAATCGTCACCTTCCGGCCAACGTATCACAAGCGCCATGCGATGTTTGAAAATTTCCGGCGCCATTTTATTTTTTTACAGAGAAATTCTTCAACAAAGCTGTCCGAAAATTCCACTGAATTTTCTTTGTGCTGCCGATAAAACTCAGCGAAATGTTCAAGATTCAACCAACAATTTCTCTGTAAAAAACAGAATGGCGGCGGAAATGTTAAAACGTGGCAAGGCGCTCGTGATACTTCGGCCGGAAGGTGAGGATTTGTCTAAGGAGAGAAAATTACACGGCAGCGGGCTGATTGTTGAAATTGATGGACAAAGCTACAGACGAAGGAGACAAAAATGATATGGAAGGATTCTATTGGTGGAAGCGGACAGTTGCAATAGACAAAGGCGGTAGGTAATAGACTAATTAATGTCAGTTCACGAGAGACCTTTCAGTTAGTCCATCATTTACCCCCTAAGTCTGTAAAAACCACCCAAATTAACCAATAGAATCGCTCCACACTCATTATGTCCTCTTCGTCTATCGCTTTGTCTATCAATTCAACAACCACCCCGCTGGTCAGCGCAAAGATTCAACACAGCGTGCCCGCGCTGGGTGAGGCAGCTGCCAAAATAGAAGGCATTTCCATATGATCAAGAGGCTAGCCAGCGACTTGATCCAGGATTCAAATATGTCAACGCCGGTGCGAGCAATGAAGCATCTAAGGCAATGGACCACTAGACAAGGTACGAATTTAAGCGATCTGATACACGTTTCTTAACCAGAATTTCACGTAGAAAACGTTTCACACAACGAAAATTACGGAAACCAACTCCTAACGAAGATATTAACGTTTTTATTTCACATTGGTTACGAGGAATTTGAACTGCCCGCTCACAAGAAACTACTCTACGTGAGTCAAATCGCGCACTACAACGGTTTCAGCGATCTTCTCAATCGAGCAATGTTCATTTTCCACCATGTGTTTTTCAAACTATAAGTAATGTGCTATGGCTGAGCCAAAGTTTCAAGATTGAGGTTACCAGATTTTTTTATCGCAGAGACGTTCATGATAACGTTTAGCGAGCGATTTGAATCACGTAGAGCATTGAGTTTTCATGAGCGGGTGGTTTGAAGTCACGCATCAGGAATCATTAATATCTTTGGAAGGAGTTGATTTCGGTAATATTCGTTGTGCGCATCGTGTTTTACGTGAAATTTTGGTGAAGAGACATGTTTCAGAATGCTGAAATTCGTACCTTATCTAGTGGTCCATTGAAGGCGTTTGTAGCTGATTCCCAAGTTATTCAGCGCAAAGATCTAGAAGAGCATTTTAAACTCGTTGAGGGTGGTGAAGTATCTGACGGCATTGTCAGCTATGTACACAAGGGGAATCTTAGGAACAAAATGTCGCACAGTGGATCGAGTGAATCAGAGAGGTCGGACATAAAATTTTTAACCAAAGTTGCAAATTTTGATGTTCGTTTCGTCACATTTTGAAGTTCCAGGGGTGCTACAAAAAGAAAATTTCACGAGGAAACAAATGGAACCGCTATCAGAACCTCAAAGTTTTGTATAAACGGAGTTATACAAAAATAGTTAACAAATTTTGTCCGACCTCTCTCATTGACTCGATCCACTCTGCGTCGTTTTCCGGACAGAAAAATGTAACTGCATTTTAGAGTGGCTTTTATTCTCCCTCTCTCGTAAAATGTATATTTACAAAGATAATATTGGGAGTTTTACACCACACCACCGTTTTTCTTCCATGTACGTGATAAAATCAGCAAAATTTTGGACAGAAATTGCGCCATCAAATTTTAGGAAAAATTGTTTTGTATGATTGAATCGTGTAATCCAGAATGGAGTTACGCTCCTTCGCCTGGAAAATGACGAGGAGCGGTGCATCTTACAATTAGTGGGAGGGTGGTGGATTGCCTCGTAGATTTGAACAATTGATATTCTTTTCGACAATATGCTTAACTTGCGGTGAGTGTTAGAGATTTTCTGAATTTTCGCTTACTCATCATATGGAGGTGTATAGACAAGCAGAAGGAAATTTGCATGAATGCATGGAATCAAACATAGCTATAAAGCGAGTGGATCCAATCTACAAACGCTTTTTTTATTTAATGCCTTCATGCATAGCTCCTTTAAGCATGAATACGTTAATTTACAGCTTGATTTGAAGGATTCAAATAAAATAATATCCCCATTTCATAGAGAAAAAAGAAAGAAAAAAAATGGGTGAAATTAATCAGATTCGGAATAATAAGAAATTTCTCAGTTGACTTCCTGCTGATTTTAAAAAGGGTCATTTTGATTTTTACGTACTGAAGATCCGATCGATTTTTGGTTCTTTGTTCTCTCCGAGTCCCACTATGCAACATATCACATTGCTTTGTTTGTGCAGAATATACAAAAGATAAGAAAACGGAAAATTAGCTGATGCAGCAAGGGAAAAGGTTCAATCATTCAAAAGCTTGAAACCACCTACTTTGCATCGCAATGGTTTTTCAAAATTATGAATGATAAATTCATTTCCGCGGCACAACAGCATAGTGTCTATCTACCAGCTTTGCAGATTTTAGGGTATACTTTATAGCGCTGCTCATTATGGAAAAATGTCCGAAACAAATTTTTAAGCGAGAATTTCTTTTGCAGAATCAAGAGTTTCACCGTGGACTTGGCTTTCCGCGGCTGGAAGGACCCAGAGAAATCTACATTTGCTGACGTCACAAATGATGAGACAAGAGACTTATGCGTGATTGGCTGGCTAAAATGGACGTAGTGATTAGTTGCAAGTCTAGTTATCACTAAAGTGCGATTTCAGGTTTGATGTAGAGAAGTTGGGAGGAAAATCCACTAAATCTTGGAGTTACTAATAATTGTTCTGAATCTGGATGTAAAAACTAAATGGAATTCACAATTATGTGTTGCCGGGCATTCTAATGCTCCCAACAGAAGCACCGCGCGTGACATCAAAAGATTACGATGGCCCTTGATGACTTTAATAAAAGTACCAACAGCTTTAAAAAGAGGCTAGTAAAGTATGAGGGCGGAACTTTGAGTGCAGAACTTTTTGTGTTGATGGAATTAACCGACACAGAACTTAAGAGGGTGACTTTCGCAGCGCAAGCTCAAAGCTGGGCCGACTGAAGAGAATTCCGATCGAGACAGAGTCCAGAACAGAAGTGACAAACGTAGAATTTTCAATTAGAGTTTTGGGTTCAAAGTTTGGAATTATCATTTAGAATGGCCGTGCGCGCAATGCTCACATGCAACTCGGCTTTAGAAATTAAGAGAGGGAGAGAGAGAGAGGGAGAGATGGAAAAACATGGGAGTGAGGGAGGTAGAGTTACTCTCAGGTTGATTTGACGGTTTCAAGGTAACCTGGTGAAGTAACCTGGAGATCACCGGTATAGTGGAAGGGAGGGGGTGGTTAGGGAAGGTGTGCAAAACTACTTAAATATGAATGAAAACAGGAAGATAAATGTACAAAGGATTTAATGTTGTTGGGAAAATAGTATGATACGAGCATTTTTTTCCATTTGTCTCTTCTGTCAGGTATTGTTTTATCTGTCACTTTAGGTCGTTTGCAAATAGTAGGAGGGGAGATACAGTTGCTTATTAGAGAGCAGAGAGCTGGGAGCAAATGCTACCATACATGTAATGCTAATTGCGTACTTACATATTGCAGGAGTTACATTAGGCATTGAATATGCAATATTTCAGTTTTTAATAAAGAAATAAAACACGGATGATGAAATGAGAGGGACCCTTTAATGCCCTTTGAGAATATGGATGTTTCCTGTTGACTCGCTTTTTGGATTGTGGTTGTCACCATGTCACCTTAGTACGATTGGGAATAGTAGAGAAGGAGGTACAGTTGCTTCGTAGAGTGTAGATAGCTAGGAGCAGAAAGGTCCATCGTTTCAAGGCGTGGCGACGGGAAGCATTGTTTTTTTCAAATCGAACCAGAAGGCAGACCCACCCTTATAATCATGAATCTTAATAACGCAAGTTACAAGATAAGGAAATTGAGCAAACGATTGACAATTAATATGAATTTTCAACGTTCGAGTGACTCTAAAAGTGCTTTCCTGGCTAGGTCACGGGGCAAACTGTATGTTTTTTTTTTTTAGTTTGTCGAATACAATGTCAAATTTTCCACAAGCGTATCTTCAGCTTTTTTCTTGGATGGCGTTTTCAGCGCTGCTGTTTTCACGGTGAATACCTCTCTCATGATTCAGGATTGTTTCCGGTGAGATGCGGCCTATGACTTTGGACTGTTTATTCTGGTTTCATTCGTAGAATTTTTATGTGGCATACGTTTTGAGGACTTAAAATAGTCGTTAATAAGTTAGGAATTAAACCTGACATACACACTAATCCATTCTTGATTACGTTCATCCAATTCAGGCTGTTAGCATTTTGCTATCTTCTCACCTCAGAGCGTTGATGAATGATGAGTTGCCTTTTGTAGCGTGGTTCGCTCATTTGAATCTTTCAATTTCTATCTATCTATTCTATTTCTTTCAATCTAGCCCATGAAAAATTCTTTTTTCTTAAGGACCCAATCCACTAATTCTCCTTTGAGTTTCCCTATCACTGTGCATCTTCCGCGAGTTTTAGCCCTGCGCCTTGTGAAAACGTACATATTTTCCTTAACTTCCTCTACCGTCATTTTTATTTCCCTAGCAATTCCCTCAACGAACTTCTCCTGCTCCAGATCCTCCGGAATTGTTTCAAATTTAACTGTGGCTAGATCCCTCTCCAATTCCTTAACTTCACCCTTCTCATCTGTAAGACCCTTTCTATAGATACCAACTATTTCCTCCTTATTTTCTTCCTCGCATTCAGCTTCCAAAATAACCCCTTTCCTCAGTAATTTGAGATCCAAAATTCTACACTTCTTTTCCCTCAGTTTTTTCTCCAGAATATTTTCCCTAATTTTCCCAAATACTTTCCTCGAATCCTGTTCTTCCGGCTTCTCCTCTGTTGACTTAACAAAAATCTTTGCTTTTTCCGGATTTTTGTTTCTTTGATTCTTTTTGGCGCTTTTTGAGATTACTGTCGTAATCGGAATTTCCGACTGTCCCGTTGAACGTACAAGAAGCGAGTCGAATTTTTTTCTCCCTCATGGGAAAAGAAGTAGGAAAAATTTACAGGTCTACAAGTCCAGCTTGAAATTACCTATTCGCACATATCAAAACAAATTCAGAAAAACAAAAAATAACAGAGAAAACTTGGAAATATTCGGAGCGTTACAGAAAGCATGTACGCGTCGTGAAAGCCAACCCCTCTAATTATTAATTACACATAACTTTTGAGACAATATGCTTGCTGCATGGATGCTTCGCACAGTTCTTGGATAGGTTTTAATTGCGGATAAGTCTAGTCTGTCCATCCTATACTAGTAAACAAGGAGAGCATGATAGTGGTGGTAGTAAGAATGGTAGAGAGTTTAGAGTGGCGTTAGTGGCGGCTATGATTGTGGGATTGAGTCTTGTGACGGTCGTAATGGTGACGGTCGTGGTCTTTAAGACAGCTGCAGGCGCCTCAAAAATCATATTACTCCGATCACAATTCAACAAGCTATGTAGAGAAACACATTAATATGGGCTCACAATTTGTGTCACACAAGTGTCAGGGTGGGCACACAAGCGTCTTATTTACTATAATGTTAAGTGTTCTGAAGGTCCTCAATCTTCTTGACCAATCTGTTGATCGTTGTTCACCTCGGTATCGCCTAAGGGCATTTCAATACTGGATGTATTGCGTTTCATTCTAATTAATTATAAATAACTTTCGCGGCGATATGTTTGCTGCATGGATGCTTCGCACAGTTCTTGTATAGGTTTACTCGTAAACGGGGAGAGCATGATGGTGGCGGTAGTAGGAATGGTAGGGAGTTTAGGGTGGCGTTAGTGGCATTAGAGTACAGTTAGTCTAGGAAAAGTTAAACTTGTCCGTACAGTTTTGGATTTAATAGCAACACTTGGCACGCATGTATTGAGAAAACCGTTGCACCGCCACATGAAAAACTCGATTTTCCCCCGCAAGGAGGAACATTTTGGAAAAACAAAAACGGCCTACAAGTTCGTCTTGAAATTGCCGATATCACTGAACAAGAAAAATTCACAAAAACTAGGGAGAAACCAGAAAAGAACTTAAAAAACAGCGGAGCGAGCAGAAGCGCACGACTGCACCGTTGAACGTTCAAGAAGCATAAGTCAAAATTAATTGTGTCAAAATCGTCGGTTTTGTTTTTCGAGAAATTAGCTGGGCCTTATCTACACCTGATTGCGATTAAGGTGTGGATTGTAGACTATAATCTTATCAGCTGTTTTTTATGATAAATTTATGAGAGTGTCTTTTTGATAATAAAAGTCATAGAAGTGATTCGTAGTGTTCTATTCTATTATTACAATCACATACTTGCAAAGATTATCTAATCGTAAGACACATCTATCATTGAGCTTTTCTTGTCGTAGAAACAAGTACTTATTTACTTGTTTGTTCAATTCAATTGTTGTAGGGTCAGTTGCAAGAAGATAAACGATATACACGGAGGGGGGGGGGGTTCCGATTAACGGGGATAAGTATACGTTTAAAACTATTCCCTATGGATAGTTCTCAAGACTTTTCCAATTGCCTTCGTTGATTATTTGCCATTGTAGGGTAGTGTTCAGCGTTTAGAATGTAATTTGACTGGTTTATAGACTTCAGAGGCGAGACTTATAGCACCAAAAATGATTGCTCGCTTTGTTTTGTTTCTCTTTGCATCTTCATTTAATTTATGTATACAAGTTGCGACCAGCTTTTTGACAAAGATTGAATCGAAATCCGAGCACCACTTTTGCTCACCACTCTGTACATACATCACGATTGAAGCAAGTATGATAGTATGTAAAAAATACTTAATTGTTAATAAAATATGTACTTAATTGGTTGTTAACTTATTATTCCCTCAATCCCACCGTGAGGATTAAAATTAATTGGACTGAGTTAAGCAGAAAGGAACCAACCAACCTTTTGGAAAAAATTGAGTTATGAGTGGTTTTGAACTCAACCACTGCTCTACTATCTATCACCAAAAATTCAAAGTTTTTGTTGGAGCAAATTTTGTAGAAATTGAACTTGAAGTTTATCTTTTACATTGAGTCTTATGCAGGAGCCAAACTTTAAACCTCTTTTTCTCGGTTCGATCCCGATGTGGCTTGGTTCCTTTCTGTTTAACAGACAGGAACTGCCCAATTGACAGAGCAGTCGCACAAAATTAATGACACTTGACTCACAAATCGATAAGATACGCTCGGTGTTATAGAGCTTCTGCAAAAAGGAATGCCAACAGGTGTAGTAAATTGGCGGATTACAAGTGTCTCTTTTGCTTTTAATGTGCTGCTTTCACTTCAGTTTTGCACCCAGAGGCTGAATTTTGTCGGTCCTTTCACCGTGCTAAATATACTTAAGGCGGGCCTCGACTGCACTTAAGTCCGGCTTAGCGCTTCTGATTGGCCGGTGGTGCGGTTTGAACTCATCGATGGCTGTTGCACTCCGTGTGAAAAAGCCGATAAAAATTCGGTCCCAGGGCTTCCCGTAGGTATTTTGCCGCGTCCAAAAACGGAGCCGCAGTGGATCGAGTCAATAGGAGAGGTCGGACATTTGGAAACTTTAAACGCTTGTAACTCCGTGTATACCGAGTTTAGAGGTTCTAAAATTGGTTCTTTTGGTTTCCGCGTAAAATTTTCTTCTGAGAGCACCCCTTGCGATTTAAATGTGACGAATTAAACATCATAATTTGCATTTCTAGTTGAAAATTTCATGTCCGACCTCCTCTAATTGACTCGGTCCACTGTACTGCCGTGCTGAGCCGCATGAACATTCGAGAGTTGCCAAATTCCCTTGGGTAAAATTTTTATTTTTGAGGAAAATTGTGAGTACTTCTCCTCGAAATTTTCAGACTTTTTAGATCGAGTTACGAACAATATTATCTGAGAGATTGGCGGGAAAATATTTAAAAATTTTCCTGAAAATTAGTGATTTGCCGGAGGAAATTTGGCAACGCTTGAAGGCTTATACGGCGTTCTTCCTCAGCACGGCAGTGTAAGCCGGTACACCTTCAATTGGACGCATTTCTGCCAAACGGAACTATGTGCATCATGACGTGAGCCCTGTTATACATGTATTCTTATAGGACGCAGGGCTCATGTCTTAATGCACATAGTTCCGTTTGATAGAAATACGTCCAATTAGAATAGGTAAAATTTCACTTCTCGGGTCCGCGGCTGTCAGCAAGTCTTCGGTCCCAAGTCCAGTCCTGCGGGCCGATTATTGAAACTGGTAGACAAAGCTATAGACAAAGACGACAAAAGGGATCTGGAGGAATCCTATTGGTGGAAGCACGGGGTGGTAATGGACATAGGAAGTAGGTAATAGACTAACTAACGGCAACCCACTAAAGACCCGACAGTTAGTCCATCATTTTCTTCCTTAGTCTATAAGAACCAACCATGTCAACCAATAGGATCGCTCCATACTCCTTATATCTTCTTTGTCTGTCGCTTTGTCTATCAGTTTCAATAATCGGCCCGTAGGATCCTTTTGACCGATCGCTGCAGTTTTCCTGTAGCCTTAAGGAGGTCTCTCCCAGTCCTCCACTGCACAATGGATCAAGTCGAAAGGAGAGGTCGAACAAAATTTGCAAGTTCCAAAAGCTTAAAACTCCGTTCATACAAAATTTTAAGGTTTTAAAAGTGGCTTCCCTGATTCTCTTTTGAACTTTTTTTCCAGAGGCACCCCTTATTATTTAAAATGTGACGAAATAAACTTCAAAATTTGCAGTTTCAGTCAGAAATTTCATGTCCGCCCGCTCTGATTTATTCAATTCAATGTGCGCCGTATCATGAGTAAGTACTCTTGACAGACACCACATCATTTTGTCATCAAACAAAATGAGTATCAAATGAGTACTCTTAGAGAGAAATTAAGTGTTTGGTGACATTTGAAAGTGAAAAATGCCCATTTTTGCCCCAAGAATAAACGGTATTTACAGCATCCACAAAGGAAAGGTGCTAATCTTCTTTCAATATGAAAATCATAAATTTACCCACTTCACACGTTGAGAACGGGAGTTGAAAATGAAGGTCACCGGTGCGTCGTTGAGTGCTGCCTTGAAAAGTGGGCCACAACACGCAATTTTTGTTGCTCGTGATATTGTAAAAAGTTATAAATTTATACCAATTCGTAATAATTTCTGTATAAAGTAAACAATGGCTTAAAATGGGTGTCGAGGGTCAACTTTCAACAGCGACATAGATGACCAATTTTCAAGACTCCATTTTCAGGGTGCGAAGTCCACTTTTGACACCCCCCTCCCCCCGGTGAGGTGACTGGGCGCGCTATTGAACCGCAATGGTAGCAGTAGTAATGTTTCAGAATTAAAAAAATATGTCCATGAAAAATTTTGGAAATAAAATATGTTCAAATCATATCAGTGTATTATTTTTTCTCCTTATGCGTGAATAGCATTCAATAAAGAATTTCAACAAAAACAGACTCCCATCACTCTTGCAGATACTCTTCTTTCGTCTTATTTAATGGAATACGAGATAAAGTTAGAATCAAAGGACCCTCGCGATACGTGACCTCCTGAAATTTTCAATTGAAATTCGTTGGAAATATAAAAAAAATTCTGGAAATCAGAGTGATTTACTTTCCAGGTCGGCTGAAAAAGAGCACAACTCTTAAGTTCACTACGTCAGCACGACGCGTAAAAACAGGCGTTGGAACATTTCTGTCCTCTCTCCATCAAACCTCAAAAAAAATATATCTCGTCTGTACCTGAGAGGCGTGTTTTTTGTGATTTTTTTCCATTATCAGCGTTTGCTAGTCTGCACTTTATTAAGCCGCAAGTACGATGCAAAAATGTTGTACTTTCTCGTACCAGTCATCCTCTCAACCTTCTACAGCAGAGAAAAATCTGAATTTTCAGTCTGGTCACGTGACAGTGTTTGAACAGAATCGTTCGAGTAATAACAACCTCCGATTAAAGACCAAAAGTGCTCTAGTTTGGACTTAGCTGGAACCCATGATATCCCCAGCAAAAGATCTGATTCCAGTCTTGGGAAGTATTGGAAACTCTCATCAGGTTGTGAGCCTTGCCCTCGGCAGTTGGAACAGCTCTGCTAGTTTTTAGGGAAGATGCGTAGGCGTACCTCAATTTTCCTTTTGCTATGTCTGTTTATGCTCTTTGTTTACAGTGAGGTAAGTTTAAATTTTTTTTCTGTATGAAAAAGAGAAAGATTCTGTTATCACGTTAAAAAACGTCAGCCAGTAAATCTTAGTCGTTGTTGAAAGTCTCAGGTATGATGAGAGTGTATTATGTTTAATTATTTGATTAAAATGTAAAAAAAGATTAATTTTCCCAAACATGATCATCCTCATGATAAAGGAACCTTAGTCCGTGCTCTTAATTAGTACTGGCGCTTAGAATAATGTCTTTATGTGGCACAGAAAACGCTATGAATTACCAATCCAAGCGATTACTATGAAGTTTTAATTTCCGGGGTTCAATGAACGTTGTTTCGGAAAAAAAGCTATTAAAATCTATATAACTATCCATGTTTAGGACACATTATTGTAAGATTATGGACCTGTACAGTGCACACAATTAATTGGTGCAAGAATAAGATAATGCACACAATAGGCCATCGGTGGAAGCTTAAAGTAACAATCTCGAATTCGTTTTTCAACAGGGCCGGATTTACCTACTTTCCGCTCATGGGCCGCCTATATTTTGCCGCCCCCTTCTCATTCGTTTTGAAACGTTAATAAAAACCATCAAGTGAACGTGTCGGAGGGGAGGGGTGCATAAGATGCGTGTACCTACTAGTGTTGAATACATTTTTTGCGAAATCCCAGTCAACACTACTAGCAAAATTTCACGGAACTTTGCGCGAAAGTCAAGTTCCGTAAACATATCTATGTGTAAACAATGTCCTCCATTTATAAGAAATGAACCAAAAAATTGAAAGAACAAACACAAATGTGGTTTAATAATTTTATCTTCCGCCGCTGCGCCGGGCTGATCGCACTGTGTTTGGCGCAATGCGTGAAGTATTCCTGCAGTCTTGTAGGCGCTACGCATTTCTCGCCAACCGCTCCTGACCGCACTGTTTGACGCAATGGGTGAAGTATTCATGCAGTCTTGTAGGCGCTAATATGTGTTACATGTCGATCGCCTGTGCTGAGGGCTTGTCCTTTTCATCTCAAGTCCTCGTCATCACTCCTCTCTGCGCTGAGTTCTAGGCCAAATTGCGTGATTAGTTCCTCTCTTAATTCGACTAATTATTATTAAAGATGCTACATGTCTCCTTTATCACCGAAAAACGATAAAATCAGAAATTACTATACTCTCAGGAAAAATAGATTTTGTCCCCTTTTCTCATTGATAATTTTTTTTTCTGAATCCGATTTTTTTAATACCTACATTTAAAAAAATTACAAAATTTGCCGCTATGGGTCGCGGCCCATGTGGCCACCCCCTTAATCCGGCCCTGTTTTTCAACTCGATTTGTCGTGGCGTAGGCTCATGAAAAACCTGTAAAAGACATTTAAAAAACTTTTTAGTCACAGTAACTTGGGAGCACAACTCGTTTATAGAAAGTTTTAAAAAAGGATGTTGTATGGATTCCAATTTTATGATGAAAAACTGACGAATTAGGTTTTTGTGACATTTACTTTTTTTCATAACTAAATGTTTACTTGTGAGGAGAGGTAGCAGAAGCTTGTAAATCTCAATCATTATTACCAGCGGATTTTTGAAAATTCGACTCGAAAAAAGTCAAACAAATTCCTTTTTTTTTAAACCAGTGATTCCTGATAAGTGGACTCTCAATGTACTCGTAAAATATGTTTATAAGAGTCGCTGAATCCACACCTACTTTTCATGAAGATTACAATTCTGTCTTTAAGCCACACTCCTAGAATAAACCTTAAATTTTAATTTCAGGAGCGAGAAGACCCAGGAGGAACACTTAATAAACGAGTTTCTTTCCGTGAAAAACTCAGTGCTTCAATAAAATCAGCAGGAAGAATTTGTTGTAATTGGTATGTGGAAAATAAATTAATATTTTCTTATAGAGTGAATGATATTCTGAGCTTCAACTGCCTCATATCGACATTTTACGTTGAGGTAAAACCAACTGGGACCTTTGTCATGTTTCTTTTCAAGATCCAGAGGGTTGTTTATGGTCATTTAAATCATGCACCGTCCGAAACCCCATCGGACAATTTTCATTGTGACAATATTCTGATTTCATTGTCACAAGCTTTGATTGGGAGCTTAGCACAATCACCTGACAATATTGTGGAAATATTAATGTTCTACCAAAGAGCTTTCGTTACCTACTCAATTTTGGGAGAAGGTCGGGGAGAAAAGCTTTGTGGTGAAATCTTAGTGGAAGCTTGTGACATTATAAGCTTTATTCTATAACGCTTCTTCTATAATTCTATAGCTTTATTCTATAAGCTTATATCTATTAACTCAAGGCTCCCTCTCGGTACTCGCACATCAATTGGGCGCATTCATGCTAAAAGGAACTATCAAATTTTGCACGCAATCCCTATACCAAAGTAGCATTTTCAAACGGAAAAATCGCGTTATTTTGAAATTTGGTTGCGATTTTTTGGTGATAAAGCAGCTAGGGTCATCAACATCTAAGCGATTATCCTCAGTCTTGTCCCAATTTTGTTTCTATAAAATTGGGCTCGATATATAAAATCAAAATTTTATCTCAATTTGTCACGATTTTGTGTTCAATAATATTGCAATATACCGCTGTTAATTAAATCGCGATTTTATTGAAAATGTATGCAGTAAAATCGCAATTTAGCGCAATTTTTTATCCAATAATATTGTAAAAAATCGACGGCGATAAAATTGCGTGCATTCCATGATCAAATCATATTTTATCGTGATCACTGCCCTTTGGGTGGACAGGTTTTTTTTTGCATAGCTACATCAAAGTAGACATATTTAACCAGAATCGGACCGCGTCAAAAGCAGGAAGAAACCAAGCAACATCAGCGATTGCCAACTCTAACAAGGCAATTAAATTTTTTACATGGAGTCGGATTTTTTTGCAAATTTCAGGGCATTTTCTGAAAAGATCAAAGAAATTTTGTTAAATTTGTCAAAAGAATTCTCAAATACGTTCTCTGGTTAACAATTTAATTGTCTAGTTAAATTTGGCAACAGCTGATGTTGGTTAGTTATGTTCTGGTAAACGCGATCCAATTACCTTAACTGTATTTTACGGTGCTTCATTTCCTCTCGAGTTGCATTGCTTGCAGGAAAATTGCGCAATACGTCGCCTTGAAACTCTCCATAGAATATGCCGAATATGTTCGAAAAATTCCACGGCGAAATGTCCCTCAGTCTTCATTAAACAAGTAAAGCATAAGAAAAATGAGGCAACATACGATATGGATGGGCTGATTATACACATAGTTTGCAATACAATTATGAAACGGATAGCGGGTATAGAATACTATTTTCTTTACTTGAGGGTCGTGCGAGTGACTTTTGTGATTTTTATCATTTCCTTTTATGATTTTTTTTACTTGGAGATAACTGAGTGACGCGGAGTCTCTTAATGCTTAAAATTAGTTGACGCTTCGAATCAGATATAAGTAAAAGCTAGCGCAGAGAAAACATACATAGCCAATCTTGTTATCTGGCAACACTGGGATGGTTCAAAAAAATTTTAGTCCCAGATTTTAGTTTTCAGTAAGAATTCTGGAAAATGCGTGACAATGATAAAGCTGAGAAAAATGCCGAGTCGACAATGTTATAACACACTTTGAGCGTTAGAGAAAGCGGCCCCCAGTCCAAAAATTCTGAGAAATGGAGTACCAAAGTAGAGCTTTGCAAAATTTGGGGATGATCAGATTGTTTTTAGGGGGTATGGATGCGCACCCCACTTACACGCGAAAAATACGGAGGTTTTGCTCATTTTTCCACGGGTTCAGTCCGTTTCGAGCTGAGAAAGTATTATTCGACGATCGTTTGTTTGGTGGGCACGCACCTCCAAAAAATAATTCGACCGTGCCTAAATTCTTCACAACTTTAATATGGTACTTGTATTATTTCCATTGATAATCTACTCGATATTCCAAACACACGTGTCTAAAAATCCCGAGAGCGAGAATACGTAGAACTAGATTTTTGTCTGAAAAAAGGGGCTGCGCAGCCTCAAAAAATTGTTGCACGAACCTAACATTTTTCTCAGCTCTATTATTGTTACCTGGACGTATTTCTACCAAACAGACCTATGTGGAGGTGAGAAATATGGGGTGTGCTCTAGGAAGCTGCATAAGAAGCAATATAAAAGTGGGCGTGATTCCTTTTGAAGAATTGGAAAAGCGGGATTTTACATTCTATCAAACAGACCTATGTGGCAACTGAATGCGAGATTCATGAGCCGCGGGCATGGCAAGAGAGAGTTGTGGACAGGGCTCATGAGTTAAAGCCCCGACGACGATCTCCCCCTCGCTCGAGTGCGCACTATCATTGCCGCTGACGTCACTGGCGCTTTATTATTCCCATTCACTCTTACGGCCAGGGAACTAACGAGCACACCCCATATTTTTCACCTCCACATAGGTCTGTTTGGTAGAAATACGTCCACCTATCCTCCAGAATTTCTACTTGGAACCAAAATCCGATACGAAAATAGTTTTTTGAATCACCCTATGGTAACACTTACTGTTTTCTATTCATATACATTGTGTGTAGTCCAATTTAGGCAAGGCAACCCGTCTTTGCAGCTATTGTCTTAGGTGCATTTGAATAGACAAAACTTATTGTTCCCATCCTGCAAGGATCACAACTAAATATACTTGAATCATTGACAGGAGCCGTAGGAATAGATCTGTCGAGAGAAGTCCATCATCATCGTCTTCTGAGGCACCATCCGGGGCATCACCACAAATACCTCAACATACATCATTACGGGCACCACAGCCATCACTACCACAGTCATCGTCACCACGGCTATCACCTCCACAGTTATCACTACCACAGCCATCGCCACTACGGTCATCACAAACACGGCTATCACCGCCATCGCCAATACCATCACAACCACCATGGCAACGGATGCTACCATCACCGACCAGGCCATCACCACCAAGGCGCCGGCAGGAACCATCACGGAGGGGGGAATCTCCACCATTACAGCAATCACCTCTTCCGAAAATAATACGAAACTACTCACCCGAACCATTACCACCAAGACAACCAACATTTCAACCACTACAAGCTTTCAAAATATGCCGCGACGAAAAGAAGAACGTAGTGCTGGATTGTGGACATAGAATTTGTGCTACGTGCCACGAAAGGATTAAGAATGGACAACCTGGACTTAGACATGTTCGATGCCCAATGTGTGGCGATCGTTTTAGAAGCCACGTCCAGTTCGATGAAGAGCTACATTTGAAAGGAGGATTATGATGCAAATGATCGGATGGATTGAATAATGGGATAGTCATGGAAAAAATAGGAGATTACTGACATGAAAATGCCATTTAAGATGAGGAGGAAGGAGACTGAGCCATGGTATCCAGGCGAATTTTACCAGCAATTCTATCGTGCTCGGAGAAATAGCTGTATAAAAATTCGGATGGTAAAATAATATATTTTTATAATATTTCATCTTGAAGAAAGCTGTGAATGTCCTCCTTTGAACTTTTCACATAATTTAAGTTAAAATTTCCAATTAAAAGAAAATAAATTAATACATTTTTTTTAATATTTTTATTCGTGCGATTTTTATATATGTTAGTCAACCGAGCCCCTCAATGCAGTAAATCGTATCCGATACATCAAATCGACTTACTTTTGCTGAGATAGTATCGATATGGATTGGTTCAACATGTACACATAGCTTAAAAATTCAATCGAGTGAGTGAACGGGTTTGCTTGATTGATTATTGATTCGTAGGAGTAGAAAAACTACTTGGCAATATGTAAAGTGAAATTGTTCGGAATTCTCTCTGTTTCAGCTTTTCCAACTTTGTTCCTAAAATTTTTGTTCGAGGTATGTTCTTCTTCATTTTACCGAGATGCGTCTCTATCTTGTTGGATGTCAAAATAGTTGTATCGCCTGTTGCTCCCTATCCAACTTTCTTACCTTGCATTAAATTCTCTGAGTCACCCAGAAAGAGATTCTCCTTCAAACTGTGGATACGCAATTTTACATCCTTGGATGTCGGAATACTTATATCATGCGTCTTACCCCATCCAACTTTTCTAATCCCACGTTAAAGTCTCTGAAACAGCGAAATAAAAGTCTCCTTCATTTTGTGGGTACGCAATTTTACGCTCTTGCAAGTCAAAACTGCATATTGCGTTTCGTCCTGTCCAACTTTTCTACTCGCGTTAAAATCTCTAAGTCAGTGGGAAAGAGATCAAGCTCTCATTTATCGTTGTGGATGTGCGAGAGAGTTTTGTTGCTTCATATATAAGACCGGATTTGTGAAAAGGGACCTCATCTCCCGGAACAAAATTTCCGTAACTTTGAACTCATTGGAGTTTGCGCGAAAAAACGATCGGGGGAAGCGCCTGCGAAACTGCGAGAATACTTCAAGCGGTACGCCGTCCTCGCGAGCCCGATCACAAGGCTTACTCTCGGCTCTTACGTAGCAAATCGCACTGAGTACCGAGATGCGTGCGCTACTTGGAAATGCGTAGAGTAGCACGCGTTCACACTTGGGAGGGTTTACGCAAGAATGGAGCGCATTTTTATCAAACCGTAATAAATGTTATTACGAAAATTTCAATTAACTATAATTCTCACAGAAATGAAAAAGACAAAGAAGAGAGTTTCACAAAATTTTCAAAACTTAAAATGAAGCTTAGGGGCTGGAATCGTGTCTTAAATTGGATGTATTTATGACAAAATGAGTATCTTTCACGCAAACTCTATTCACACGGCTCCTTTTAGTTTTAAATTGGTTCAATTTTTAAAATTGACCGAGAAAAGAATCGCAATAGCAAAAAAATACTGATTCATTAATCAATATTTTTTTTTGTTTTTATTGCGCATAATTTCTCAAAAACTATACGTTAAGTAATATTGACCACGTAAATTTATTCAGTAATAACAGCGAATCGTAACAAAACTTCTGTCGTCAGTAGTGTTTCAGCGTCGGCCACAATTCAGAAGTCGAATCACCTTTGGACGTAGTATAATTGAAATAACCGTAAACTTCTTTATCTTGAGTAATTATGAATCGCAAATCAATCTTATCCTTCCGATTGGGCAGCAGGTCAAATTTGTTACCCACCGGTGCTTTTACAATCTGCCCCACGGCCCGTTTCAGGTCCTGAGGTCTGCATCTCAGCGTGACCACGATGGCTGCGTTGTCCCTTCTCCTCTCAGCAACAGCATCGTATCTGAGAAACGGGTCATCGTGCTTCTCTATCCGATACGCATAAAATTTGTCAGAATTCACAAGGGGGTAGAGCAAGACAGCCTGCATAAATTTTTCTCCGAGCGGAGCTTCGCTCCGAAACAAATTCCTCACGGATTTAACAACATCTTGAAACGTGCTGATTGTAGAATTCAGCTTGTCCATCGCTGTAACGTATTGTTTCTCGTCTTCTTTGGTGTAATTGTAGCGTTTATACAAATATGCGGTCCGATAGAAACTCTCGATCATTTTCGTTTGGACCTCATAATTTGGAGCAGTGATGGTTCGCTCGTCCCCGTTACGTTCCAACGGCGTGAAATAACCGCTTTGGAACAGGAAAGCGAGAATGATATCACTCGTCACAGTGGGTTTTTCCGGTGTGAGCAATGACTTTTTCAGCTGCAGTAAATCAAACCTGTAAATAATGTAAGTATATAATAATTTTTTTTAAAAAATACAGTAGTTTTAATTATCCGCGGTCCCGCCCAACACGGAAATATTTTAAAAATATTGCTGAAATATTGTCGAAAACATTTTAACAATATTTTAACAATATCGAAATAATATTGCTGCAATAGTTTGTTGTCCGCCCCCCTGACAATATTGCAGCAATATTGTCAAGGTAATATTGATAAAATATTTTAAAAATATTTACTTGCGATGAGGTTATCATATTCCAAATCCGTGTGCGCGCACTCTAGGAGACGTCTTTGGTACTAATTTTCTTTCTAATGTACACATGCGTCCAGGTTGTGGATCGTAGAGTTGTTACTGACCTTAAAATCCGCGCCGTCCTAGTCGGGATTAGAACCCACGCCTCGGGGTGAAGTTGATATCCGAAGTCCAGTACTTTACCACCAGACCAGCCAGGCTTGATGTAGATGGGCCCGTAAATTCAATCTCTTAACTATCGCAGGCCTCTGAGTCCGTAATATGTTTGTTTATTGACGGATTCTTATAATATTTTACCAGAATTTATTATTTATTATTTTTTATTTCATCCTGTAATTTGTGTTTCAAATTCTTTATTAATTGTACTCAACATATTCCTATTCATGTATTACAAATTTTCGTTTTTTTTAACTCTCTCTCATTTTTTTCTTTACCAAATTACTGTTTTTTATAATTGCGTCTTTTTCCAGTTTTAATTATTTGAACTTTTTCCTAGTTTGAATTTATGTCGATGTACTTATGTCATGTTATTTATTTTTTCCCCTTCTTTTTGTCTTTTCTCCCCCCCCCCTTTCTTTTTTCTAGCGATTGATTTTATTAAGTTCCGCAAAATAATTGGTAAACAGAGCAAAACCATACGCTAATTTGGCAAACATTTTGAAAATCTAGCAAAAATTTTAGCCATAATAGCATAAACTAGTAATGTTAATTTCGCAAAAGTATAGTTTGCCATTTTCGCACAATAAAAGTACCACTTTTGCAAATTGTTTTGTCGTTCTCGCCACGAGGGTGGGCATTTTAGCAAAAAAAGCAAATTGCAGAAATCGCAAACCATTTTTTGCCATTTTAGCAATTAATTTTTAAATATTACAAAAATATTTATAAAATATTTTTAACATAATATTAAACAAATATTTTTAAACTAATATTTCTAAAATACTTTTAAAATATTTTGTAAATATATTTTACAAACTGTTTTAAAAGTAATTACATAAATATATTTTGTAAATATATTTAAAACATTTTTATAAATATATTGTTACAATATTGTCATGAAATATTTTAGCAATATTGTCAACATATTTCTGCAGTGTATTTGAGGAAATATTTACATGACAATATTGTTTCAATATTGACAATATTGCTGCAATATTGCTGCAATATTTCGTGTTGGGCGGGGTGGCGTAACAGTGCTCAAGGAAACTGCATTTTAAAGACTCTGTTGAACGATTTGTCAAATGGTGGATAGGAATGTAATTGAGGCGCTCACTGGAAAAAAACACATTGGGTCTAGAGTTCAGAGTCTTGAAAACATTGACAAGAAAAAATACTCTTGATTCAATCGGATTTTTGCTTGAATCAAAACGAGATCCGCTTAAATTAAGAGGCTTGGTTCTTGATTTAAGCTAGATTCTGATTGAATCAAGGGTACTTTTTCTTGTCGATGTTTTTGAGAGTCTGGACTCTAGATCCAATGTGTTTTTTTTTTCCAGTGTTGGGTGCAGAAAGTGCATTTCTTGGTTGGTGTGTTTCAGAATCTCCACTGCTAATTCATATTTTAGAGAGGAAACTATTGGGTGAAGTTTCTAACATTATCAAAGAAACATTGTCAATGTTGCCAACATGCGTTGGAAACGTGTCTTACTGCACGTCGGCGAGAAAAATCAACACGCTTGTCAAAACGACTCGCGCATGCGTTCAACCGCTATCTGTTTTTTTGGAAAAAAGATTTGCTCCTCCGATAAATGTTTTTTTTTTTTTTTTTTTTTTTTTTTAAATTAAAATCACATCTTCCTACCGATTCAACATATGTTTTCACCGATTTTTTCAGTGAAAAATCAAATTGAAAAGTCTAACCTTGAAATGTATGTCTCCACGTCAATACTACAGCTCCTCAACATGCACTCTTCGAAATCGGTCGCGTACTTGTCGGCTGTGATGAGCGGTATGAGCGGAACTTCCCCTGAAGGCCACCAGGGTTTCAAATCCACGTTTTTCAAAGACGCAAGAACCGAGTACGTGTTGTAAATCTTGGTTTTCGGTGCGACTGGGGCCCATCTTATGTACAACCCCGTGTCAGCAGCGAACCTGTTATCAAACACGTTGTATCCCTGGTAATACGATCTCGTCAGCTCCATCTGCGACGGGGGAACATGCAACTGCTTTTGGAGTACCTTGAGATCGTCTCCCGTAAGGCCGTATGCATTGTAGAATATTCTTGCGTCGAATATTGAATAGTATTCCACGTTGGATGAGGAAGTATCCATATCTGAAAAAATTGAGAAATAATAAGTGTCTGCAATGCGGCGAATTTCATGTTGAAGATGCAACCAGTAGGAGCACGGGAATATCCTTGGTTTGTAAATTGAGCAGTCATCGATATGACAAAATAACCTATTTTCTGATCAGTGCCCCAGAGCCATAATATACCCAACTCGCATTTTTGGAAAAATCAAGTTTATGGCATTTTCGAAATCTTCATTAACGGTTCCGTGTTTGTAGAATATTTGATAGCCCTATCTGACGCCTAATTCAAGTTCTTCAAGGCGCGATATCTCGGTCGATATTCAACATAGAAAGTTGCTGTTTGGTCGGATCCAATTATTCTTAACTAGTCTACAAGAGTGAAGAATCATTACACAATTCTGTAACCAGCGCAACTAACCTATTGAGGAGTTATCGATGTGAGAAAATAACCCAGTTTCTGAAAATGGTACCCCAAAACCATAAGGTGCCTACCTCACATTTTTGGAAAAAACAAGTTTATGGCATTTTCGAAATCTTCATTAACGGTTCCGTGTTTGTAGAATATTTGATGGCCCTATTTGACGCCGCTTACGAGATACCGAATTTCAAAAATTCCGATTATTACTGGAAACAATGAGGCCGTTGTGCGGTTTTCTCCGAAAGACGAAAAGACTAAAAATCTCGAAAAGACTAAAATGGAGTTAGGTATACCTCTCGGCTCTGGGGCACTGGTATATTTTTAAATGTCGCACATGTCGCCTAATAACGTAACAAGGCGTTGGATTTTCTCTCTTCTTAATAAATTTTCCTACATTGTTCCACGTTAAAAAAAATAAAAAAATAAAAAAAAAATAAAAAAAAAAATATTTAAGAAAAATACTGCGAACTTAGCACTTTAAGCACTCTCGGATGAAGAATTTCATTTTTCCGTGTAAATGGGTCTGTGTTGTATGCAAGAGGTACAGCCAACTGAATACATTATTTTGGGGTAAATTCGTTCGAAATTGACATTGGGCACATCAGAAAAGTCTTAAATCCACTCCTTAGCGCGCAATCTGGGTAGTTAGTAACGCGCTTTTTTCAATTCACCGCTTATGCGGGCAGTTTCTCTCGATGACCCGAGGTCAGGTTTGCCCAAAGAGAGACCTGGAACCTAAATAAACCTAAAAAATCTCAAGGACTGTTTTAAACTCTCCTTGCGTAAAATTTGAATTGATTCAACGCTTTTGCTTTTGGAGTATAAGGAGAAGAAACAAGCGCTTGAAAATAATTTACATCATTGCGACAGTAAAAAAGTCAGAAAATCGTTTGTTTACTCGGCACGGTTCGTTTCAGAGGGAGGTAAATAAAATAGTGTTGCCCACTCAAAATTCCTTCGGGATCTTGAAGTAGGATGCATACACAGTCATTTAAGCCTAAAATGAAAATATTCTGTCGAGCTCTTCGAAAATAAAATCGATTTTTGTGTTTTTGGCGCTAACATGGCCTTCAAAAACGATCAATGATTCAATTCCGATGGGTTGTGCATATGCAAAATGGTACATGTATGATGAAATCTACGTATTTTTGGACCAGGAATCGATTGAGCAGGGTTCCGAATCGGTTCGAAGCTTCATTGACCGAAAAATGAGCCTTTTTGGGGATTTTAGGGACATTTTGGGCCCATTTTTTCCCAATTTTGTCGTGAGAAAATCTGTGCCGTCATGGGTATTGATTATTAGGTAATTTCGGGCGAGAAATCGAATGCGCTTGGTCCCGAGTCACTCCGGGGCTTTTTTTCTCGGCTTGGTTGGGTTAAGATTATTTGTTTGACCGAAACCGGAGGGAAAATTCTGCATACATAAATATTATAAATCCACAAGAGGAGTTCATTTTTCGAGTCCAAATTTATACCGTCTCTTCATAAAGCGCATACGATTTCTCGTCAGAAGGTCTTTGAAAAAGAGAAATTGATGTGCACGGCATATTTTCTCGGTCGAAATAAAAATTATTGATAGGAATACCGCTGATACCGCTGGTGGATGTATTCCTTTGGATATCTCGTAATTGATATTGATTTGTTACGTTGCAGTACTAGAAATTGAACTAGATCTCATGATCAGAGAAATATGTATTTGGAAAATTTGTCCAAGTATCATGAAAAAGAAATATTCCCCATACACAAACCACAACTTATTTATTCAGGAGTCTCATTTTAAAGTCAAAGAAAGGCCAATTTCAGCATCCAGTTTGAACATAAAAGACAAAAAATATTTTCAAAGCTCTTCCGGAGCTCACCCTGGGCCTTCTGCGTATTCTTGGATTAGGAAGCCCCGGATTGACTCGTGACCAAGCGCATTCGATTTCTCGCCCGAAATTACCTAATAATCAATACCCATGACGGCACAGATTTTCTCACGACAAAATTGGGAAAAAATGGGCCCAAAATGTCCCTAAAATCCCCAAAAAGGCCCATTTTTCGGTCAATGAAGCTTCGAACCGATTCGGAACCCTGCTCAATCGATTCCTGGTCCAAAAATACGTAGATTTCATCATACATGTACCATTTTGCATATGCACAACCCATCGGAATTGAATCATTGATCGTTTTTGAAGGCCATGTTAGCGCCAAAAACACAAAAATCGATTTTATTTTCGAAGAGCTCGACAGAATATTTTCATTTTAGGCTTAAATGACTGTGTATGCATCCTACTTCAAGATCCCGAAGGAATTTTGAGTGGGCAACACTATTTTATTTACCTCCCTCTGAAACGAACCGTGTCGGATAAGTTTTTACTGTTAATGCTCTGACTGTGCCAACTTGGTCGGCGGCGACTGAGAAAAACTGCCCGCAGACGTGGGAAACTTGGAAAAGCGTGTTACAAACTACGCAGATTGCGCAGTAAGGAAGACTGCGCCGACTTTTCTGCCGTGCGCGACGTGATTTTCGTGCAATTTTACCTGTAAAGAGTAGATTTATTTGGCTCTTGCTTGCAGCAGACCCATTTTCCACTATTATAGAAAAAGTTCCAGCAGAAATCCCGGAAACATGAACACGACTGAATAAAAAATGCAGACATGTGTGAAACAAGGCTTGTTCAAAATTATTAGTTTCTTCTAACCGGAAGTTCCCGCGATTTGTCGTTGCTTGTTTCCAGATACGGTGACTAGGTACTGCCCTCAGGATGCTAGAAATTGGGCGTATTTCTGCCAAACGGAACTATGTGCATCACGACATGAGCCCTGAGACGCATAAGAACTTATGTGTATCAGGGCTCATGTCATAATGCACATAGTTCCGTTCGGCAGAAATACGTCCAATCGGAAAAAGGTATTTCCAAACCGTGCAAATTATTAAGGAGTTACTTGAGACTTTTTCAGTGTGGCCGTCGAGATTTTCTTGGCGCTTTACCCCTAAAATGTTTTTTACCCGGTCTCATGCGTGCAACAGACCCATTCCCAAGTAGCACAGATTGCAATAAGTGGCGATTACATTGTTGAAATATTGCAATTCCACTGAGTGTTCCGTATGTTGCCTAGCTCCTATTTGAAGGGGCCCCATTTATTTAGACTTTGCAGTAAAATTTAAATAAGTATAAGTTGCAATTTTTCATTGCATTGCACATTGTCTATCTTTCTGACACATGAAGCTCATGCTATTGATTGTGTAAAATCGGCATAAATCGACAACATGATGTAAAAATATTGCAATTTAAAGGTCTCGATGCGCGATCGAATTCCGAACCAATTCTGATCAAAGTAGACCACTCGATGACTGATGGTCACCATGCAACAGTCCTTTTTGATCAAAATTGGACGGGCCGTCAAATTTTGATCAGAATGGAGTACCACCGTTCATCATTTCCTGTCACAGGAAACATTCCTGCCAAGTTTTCATTTTACGATCAAGCAAACTAATGATTTTAAAACGGATGACTCCTGACGCTTTGGTGGTGATTGGTTCGTGCATTTGATCGTGTATCGAGACCTAGCTGGTAGAAAAATTAATATTTTATTGGAATGTAATTGGAATTTAATTTCAATATTCGCGTTGCACGTTCTAATTGTTATTTTTTGTCGTTAAAGTTTCTCTAATAAACAAAAAGGAAAACTAGTACGTACCGTACTCCAGGGTGACTGCTATGGTACCTGTGAGCACCGAGCGGTATATGTGGTCGCTATGCTTGGTCATGGCGTTCACGAAGGCTCCCATAAATTCGATTATGTTAATGGTGTCGTCCTGCGACACATGCGTATCAAGGACAGCAGAAATAACAGGATGGTCGTAATCATCTATAAGGAGGATGCTCTTTGTATCATGGTGTCGCCGAACGAGTTCCGCAAGATTGACGCCGAATTTTATCAACTCCTCTTTCTTCCATTTGTAGCTTTTTGAGAAACTCACAGTCTTCAGCGCTGAAGACTCCCAGATATTCGTATTGTTGAGTAAGTAACTAAATTTTTCCATCAGGGGATGAACGCAATGCTCGATAAAAGAAGTCGTGAAATCGTGAAAGGTTTTAGTTTTTACCGAACCTAGGTCAAGGTAAATGACTGGGTATCTTGCGAAATGCTTCCAGAATTGTGTTCCATTGGAGAATATGCTTTTGTCTCTGAAGAGTCCTAGCTTATGGGTCTTTTGGGGGTCTTTTGCCAGGTGGTTTTCGCCCAACTCGTGCTCGAAGAAAGTTTTGAGCATATTTAAATTTGTGGATTTGGAAAAACCCCGCGGGCCGTGGATGACGATGTGGGATGGAAGCGGTAACAGATCCAAAATGAGAGGAGTTTTATCGATGTAGCCGGACGAATGGGTGACAACCTCGAAATCTGTGGTGTTGATGATGATTTTCTCAGCTTTGGCTGCGTATATTTCTGCAAAGGCATCGTGAAGTGCATTATCGTTCGTGCTCATCTGCGAAAGAATAAGGATAAGGAATTTCAAGAAAGTATTGTCAACATTCAGTAGAGTCCCAAGTATCCTGTACCCTTCGTGGCCATCCGCAAATTCGTATTATCCGCACAGCCTCTAATTTGAAAATGCATGGAAAGGATTACACCCTGAAAACATTGCGATTCTAAGCCGCAAGCTTCTGTGTATGAGGGTAAAGTTGAAGGTAAAATTTTTAAGTAATAGTTATATTTAACAAAATGTGTCTCGTTAAATATAACTATGCCCCTGAAGTGCTGAGAATCACTTCAACTTAATTTTTTAGAAGAAGGTGGACAAGTTTGACGTGCTTTGCTGCCGTACTAAGGAAGAACGCTGTATGAACATTCGAGAGTTGCCCAATTTCCTCCGGTAAAATGTTTATTTTTGAGGAACGATATGAATATTTTTTCTTTAAATTTTCAGAAACTTTTGGTGAACAAAATCATCTGAAAAATTGGAAAGAAAACATTCTCAAGGTTATCAGGAAATTCGTGTTTTATTAAAGGAAATTGGGCAACGCCTGAGGGTCTATACTGCGTTTTTCCTTTATCTTCCACGCCGATAGCTTAAACGTCTGACGCGAGGTTTTCTTTAAAATATGAAGTTTGTGTAGAAAGCGAGACCGAATGGCCGAACATGAGTTTTTCCAAATGCGACGTTGCTAATTTTCGTTCAAGTTATATTTTGTAAAAGATGCTGAACAAAAGTTTTGCTAAAAGTGTTCTGCGATTTTTCGTGTCTTGTTCAAAGGATCCTCGTAGAGAATATAAAAGAGGAGTTCAGGTTAATTTTCTCAATCGGAGCCTCACAAACGTGGTAAAAAAGTAACTCATTTTTTTACTTTAGTTAGCAAAACAGAGCTCCAAAGTAATCAATTGAAAGTGGTGTAAGCGTTATTTAAAATCCTTTAAAAGCAGCACAAAATAGGAATGAATCATTACAAATTGCACAACTTAACTGCCTGCAGAAAAAAGGCAATCTAGTGACCAGCTTCGCAAAATCCATACTAACTGATCATTATTGAGTGGGAAAATAATTCGAAAATAATCTTATACAACTTGATCTCTGTGTGCCCTCTTTCTTTATCTCTTCTTGTGTTATTATCATTTTCCTCGCCTATGTCTCTTGTAGCTCATTCCACTTTTTATTTCCAATAACGCTGCATTACTTTGCGCTACTAAATACATCATATGTATCATTTTACCTATTTCACCTCTGAATTTTATATCCGTGTGGTTGCAATTTCATAAAGTATGCTATAGTATTGATTCTTTCTATTCTCAAAAAATACATATTGGTGCTTCTGAATATGGCCAAAATTCGTCGTTTGGATTTTTGAAAGTTTTGTAGTGCAAAACGCTTTCTTATGTGTTGCGTTGCAGAACGTTATCATGGTAAGCACTTGCGGAATATTTAATTTCTCGGTTGATTATGGACTGCATGTCAGCTAAAATATATAAAATATTTATTCGAAACCATACTTTTCATTAATTTCGATTGACTTACAAACATCGAAATAATGCGAAAGCATTACGCATGGATCCAAAAATTATTTAGCTAAGCGGAAGTAGATTTTTTCAACTTGGTCATCCCATGTTGATACAGGAATCAGTTAAAGATTTTGCGGGTTTCCTTACCATAAGCGGTCGTAAATGTGATGATTTATGGTCAGATTCCTCTAATGGACCTAAAAATCCGATTGTCTGCTAGAGAAAAATCAATAATCATTATATTTTGCGTCTACTTCACAACAAATAGGCAAATGGTAATTTAATCTTAGATTCAGTACACTTTCATCTTTATGATCCAGCTTGTGTCATAAATTATTTACGCTATATATGATGGGACCGTATATGGGGCACATGCAAACATGTGGTTTTTGTAAATAATCTAAGGTCCCCTCATGAAGAAATTAAATGATATAAATTATTCAAATAATTGCTTACCTGACAAATGAGGCTCATGTAAAACAGAAATCGTAACATTTTAAGTGGAAAAAAGAAGAACATAGTTTTCAATCACGACAAAGTTGAAGATTAGTGACGAACTGACTCAGTTTAAAGCAAAGGCATCATTATAAAATAAAAATGAATGGTGATAAGCAAGCAAGATTAAGTGAGTGCTTATAAACGGAAAGAAAATCAGCCGGAGTTCTTACTTTTGGAATCCCAGCTTTCAATCATTAATTTCTCATGGTGTGTGATTAGAAATTCTCTGTGATGGTGATGTGTTTATAGGTCCAATCATATGGAGGATGTATGATTTTAGAATAATTGTTGTGATTGTTTGAAAAAAAGAGATTAAAAACAGCTGTAAATTTAACAAATGAATGGAAATGAATTACCACAATGGATTTGAAATCTCCTATTGAGAGAAAAAATGAGTCCACCATTAGACGAATACTCTAATTTTGTACTACAATAATGCTGTAATGTTGTGATGTTGTACTAGCAATGCTTATATCTTAATCGATTATTATAGACAAGGTACGACAATGTGAGGGACCGCACCTCGCAAAATTTCAAGCAGAACACGATTTGCGCAAGAAAAAATGTTGAAATTAACTCTCATACAACATATTGTTAATTTTTTATTCAGCATCAGTCACAAAAAATTTGAATTTCCAGCACATATGAAAAACCAGAGTCTACTTGAAGCAAATCGCGCGCCACTACGATTTTGGCAGACTTCTCAATGAGCAATATTTATGTCCCAGCCTGGATGTCTACAACAACATTCATCAACATGTTGTACGAAACAACATGCATCAGCTGAGCAGAAGTTTCGATTTGCCACCTTTCTGAATCGAGAAAAGGTTACTTATAACCTAACACTATATAACCTTACCTTACTAAAGGTTAAATGTTGGTTCAGGAATAATAAGTCAAAGTTAATTTTATTAAAATAACAACGCAAAAGTTTCGTTCTGGAAAATAAATATGTTTAATAACGTTATTCTATCATCCATACAAAATTGTTACATATAATTTTGCTGCTCCAACCAACGTTATTTCACCTGTGAATGTAAGAAGAGTATTTTAGGGGTGGATTAATACTTACTCTTTTTCATTTTTGGCACTTCGTGCTTAAAATTAAATGCATTTGCAAGACAATTTAAAAAAAATAACATACAAAAATAATAAACTGCAAACTCTTTTACCATGAAATAACTTTGATTTTGGTTACTTAAAGCCTGAGTGAACTACAGTTAGAGACAGTATCAATGCTTCCGCGACATTCCAAAAACCACACCTTCACAATATTATTATTATTAAAAAAAAAAGAACAATCAAACAAACAGTGTATAGTTCTTTAAAATGAGTTGCAATATTTGTTGCCCTTAAAATTCTATCTTTGAAGGACATTCATATATATGTATCCTTATCGTACAAAAATTGGATCTAAGTTTTAGGTGGCCACAATACAAGTTCGTATATCCTGGCTTGGGCCATGCCCTAAAACCTGATTAAAACAAATAAAATTAAAATTATTGAGGTTTAATACTAACGCTTACGCAGAATTGAAGCATGGTAAGCATTTTTAGCACCAAAATAGGATATTTGAGTAATTCATTGCAGTACTTTCGATTTCCAACACGAAATATTTCACTTGATCTCTACTTTCAATGAGCGAAAGCGCCTCTTTATTTGAAATTCAAAACAAAGAAATAGGACGGCATATTAATTTCACACATAAAAGTAAATAGCATGGTTCCGTATTTTGTATATTCTTAACTTATTTTAACTTATAAGCTGTTTATTGAAATAAAATGTCTAAACTGGACTTGTGTCCTAGAGATGTTTCGTAAGCAATTTCTGCATTCAGTTGTGAGATAAAATGCACAAGATGTTTCAGATGAGAAAAAAACCCTTGGATGAAGGAATTTCAATTTTTCCCCTTATCAACGTATCTTCGATAAATTTTTAAGAGTTACAACCTCCTTGAAATCCAGGATTGCGGTACGACATTTGGACCGAGTTAAACAGAAAGGAACCAAGCCACATCTGCTATTGCTAAATTTAACTGGGCAATTTAATTTTTTACGAGAGATCGTTTGTGCGGATTCCTTTGAAATTTTTAAGGAATTTGCTTCAAATTATGGAGAATTTTCACTGAAATTTGCACGAAAATCCGCGCAACTGTTTTCATGAAAAAAATTATCTTGCCCGATTAAATTTGGCAATAGCTGATGTGGCTTGGTTCCTTTCTGTTTAACGCGGTCCATTTGGCAGAGGGGATCCAAGTTATTTGGATTACATCCTCTCCTGATAAACCTGCATCACCTCGGCATGGAGAACTCTCTCAAGAGACGAGCTTGATCTCTTAAGAGACGAGCTTGATCCCTCAAGAGACGAGCTTAACCTCTCTATAGACGAGGTTGATCTCTCAAGAGACGAGGTTGATCTCTCAAGAGACGAGGTTGATCGCTCAACAGACGAGCTTGAAGCCGGAGCCTTTGACTTTGGCGTCGCTCCAGGCGTCGAACTGGTCGATGGTCTGCGGGGTCATCATGTTCTTCCAGCCGCCGACGGAGCCGGAGCGCATGAAGGTGCCGTCCTTCTCGATGAGGTTGTACTTCTTGTTGATCTCCACCACGGGCTCGTAGTTCACCGCCCGGTTGCCCTTCATGCTCTCGAAGCTCAGGTGCTGCGCCAGCCGAGACACCTCCTCCTCCGAGAACGACTTCCCCAGGAACGCGGCCGTCTTCCGAATCACCGAGGGCAGGTCCTGAAAACAACACCCGATTTCGTATCAAATTAGGGAGCTTTTCTGCACAAACTGTCATGCATTATATGGATTGGATTTTGCTGGAGTTCCTTTATACCCAGAGTTAAGACAACTCGATTATCAGCTGACTGGCAGCCGGCCTTGGCTGGCCATGGAGGCCGAAACGAGTGCACCCAAACGAACGATATCGAGGGATAAGGATCAGGAATCCTGCGATGTCTGTCACACAAAAACAACAACATCAACAAATTGATCAATTAAAAAGAAAATGAGATTGGTTTGTGAATAATTTCTTAATCTATTTTCATTTTGGACCGATGGAAATAACAATTCACTCTTGATAAACCACAATTAGGTAATATTTTCATTATTCTTGTTCACATTCGAGGTACCGCCATCTTGGTGCACTCGTTTCGGCCTCCATGAGCGAGAACCAATCAGAATTGGATTTTTTTAGGCCACTTTCAGCCCAACCAAAAGTGAGTTGTCTTAACTCTGGGTATAAAGGGACTCTAGATTTTGCAAAAAGGAACCAGGAGCATTCCAATGTCGCTAAGTTTGTGCAACTTTCTTTACCCTGCAAATCTAAACTGATCATCTATACAAATTGTATCTTTACCCTCAATTAACTATGAATTCAAGAGGAGAATCATCCTTGCAAATATGATTTCTTTTCATTATTTCAGTAATTTTGTTGCGAGGAATGTACGTTGCACAATCCTAGCAACATTGGAATGCTCTTGGTTCCTTTTTGCGAAATATGCAATCTATATAAAAGTCGCTTCTACAACGCACTCTGACGTTCTGCGACACCCAAACGCCACATATCGTCGTCCCCCGGACGAAGGAACGTAATTCCATTCCAAGCTTGCCAAATTGACCCAAACAATTAATTTATTGTATAAAAATGTACATGTGCAATTTTTATCCAAAATTTGTTTGGTTTTTGCATGAAATTCTGAGGAAAAATCGGTGAAATTTTCAGTTGGGAATGCTCAAGATTTTCGTAGTTAAAAAACAATTTATGAGGAGAAAATTGGCAACATTTAAATGGAGTTACGTTCTTTCGTGAGGGGAACGACGATATGCCTGTCCTCCCAGAGACATCTCTTCGTTAACGCTCAGCCGCCAACCCTTTACGGGACGTCCCCGTCGCCTCTTCCCAGGTGGTACCCAATCTAAAATTGGACGTATTTCTACCAAACAAACCTACGTGGAGGTGAGAAATATGGGGTGTGCTCGTTAGTTCTCTTTGCGGAAGAGTGAATGAGAATAATAAAGCGCCAGTGACGTCAGCAGCAATGAAAAAGCGGGGGCGTACGAGGGGATCGTCGGCGGGGGGCAATAACTCATGAGCCCTGTCCACAAGGCTCTCTTGCCATACCCGCGGCTCATGAGTTCCGCATTCAGTTGGCACATAGGTCTGTTTGATAGAATGTAAAATCCCGCTTTTCCAATTCTTCAAAAGGAATCACGCCCACTTTTACATTGCTTCTTATGCAGCTCCCTAGAGCACACCCCATATTTCTCACCTCCACATAGGTCTCTTTGGTAGAAATACGTCCAATTTGTCGGAGCAACCTCATTTCCTACATTCTATGCACATGCCCATACTAGCATAACAGCCTGAACATGACGTCGTGCAAGATATCTTTTTCCACCTTCATCACCTGGCGAATCCTCTCATTACGAACGCGGTCCCGTCTCGAAATGCCGGCAGATCGCCACCAAAAATCCATTTGAGTTGTCCTCAAGTTTCAGTCTCAGTTTCATGGTTATCGAGTTTTAATTCTATTAGGTTAACATTTTCAAAGCTATAATGTGTACTTTTTTCCGATTGAAAATTGGTTATTCTGTAAGCTGCATATATTTCCTACGCTTGAAGAATGTTTTCATCAACTCATAAGTGTATCACTAAATAGTGTGACGGTCTGCTAATCTATCTAGGGAAAAGGTCAACAAAAATCGAACGAACCTTTTTCATATCCTCGTACCTTAGGAACAAGACATCTGGATTGTTCCTTTGAGCCCAGAACTCTAAAACGTGTTCCCAAAAGGGTGAAAAACACACTGTAAGCAAAGAAGGCAAAAACAGGATCTTTAGAGTCCGCAGTGTAAGCAACATGAAACAATTGAAATGAGATGATTGATGTATTATTAATATGAAAAATTCAGTCAGTCAGCATCCTTTTTTCGGTGTGAGATTGAGTCTCACACCGAAAAAAAAGAATGCTGACTTGACATTCTGGATGTAAGAAAGTGTGCGACGACTCACAGAACGCTGAATAAACCGTCACAGCAGTTACTAAAGCAATGTCAAGATTTTAAAGTAACTGCTATGATGGTTAATTCAGCGTTACTATAGCAATGTCAAGATTTTAAAGTAACTGCTATGATGGTTAATTCAGCGTTACTATAGCAATGTCAAGATTTTAAAGTAACTGCTATGATGGTTAATTCAGCGTTACGTGAGTTGTCGCGGTCTTAATTTCAAGGGGTTAACATCCTTTAAATAAAGGAGGAAAGTGGAACGGAGTCAAGAAGTGAATGGAATAAATGGCGTAGTTTGAATGAATTTCCTTTATCTGTGCATAGATTTTTAAAAAGGAACCCGTGCTTCAAATTGACCTAAATTGGGAGCATGAAAAAAGTGACTCAAGAATAAGCAGAGCTACAATACGCTCTCAAACGATAATGCTTTGGGAAAAAAAAACACATTGGATCTAGAGCCCAGACTCTTAAAAACATCGACAAGAAAAAATACTCTTGATTCAATCGGATTTTTGCTTAAATCAAGAACCACCAAGCCTCTTAATTTGAGCGGATTTCCTTTTGATTTAGGCAAAAATCTGATTGAATCAAGAGTATTTTTTCTTGTCGATGTTTTTAAGAGTCTGGGCTCTAGATCCAATGTGTTTTTTTTCCAAAGCATTATCGTTTGAGAGCGTATTGTAGCTCTGCTTATTCTTGAGTCACTTTTTTCATGCTCCCAATTTAGGTCAATTTGAAGCACGGGTTCCTTTTTAAAAATCTATGCACATATAAAGGAAATTCATCCAAACTACGCTATTTATTCCATTCACTCCTTGACTCCGTTCAATGTTTTCAAGAGTCTGTACTCTAGATCCAACGTGTTTTTTTTCCAGTGTGCGGAAAAATCAAATCACTTGAAATCCGACGGAATTGCATAATTATCATTAACCACAAGTGATGAAGTTTTATTCGCGGCTGTCTCGATGCATTAATGATCTATCTCCTCTTTGCGTATCAAAAAGCACGGCAAAAATCAAATTGTAAAACTACGCGGTTTTAACTTGTTATGCTCAAATTTCTTTGGAACCTATTTTTACGACAAGCTATTTCTGACGCGCAAGACTCAGAGCCGGATTTAGGGGGTGGCCACATGGGCCGCGGCCCATGGTGGCAAACCTAGGGGTCGGAAAATTTTCTAATTTGTTTAAAAGTAGGCATTAAAAAAAATTACAAACAAGAAAAGGCAACAAAATCTCTCATTTCCTGAGAGTATAGTAATTTCTAATTTTTAATCTAGTATTTTCTAATTAATAGTTTCTAATTAGTAATTTAAGCACTTTCAATCAGTCGAGTTAAGAGAGAAACCAAACACGCACAACCGGCATGGAACGGCGCGGCTTAGAGAGAAATGATGGCGAGGATTTGAGATGAAAAGGAAAAGCCCTCGGCGCGGCAATCCGCATGTAACACACATTAGCGCCTACAAGACTGCACGAATACTTCACGCATTGCATCATACACAGTGCGGTTATTGTGGTCAGCGTGAAACGCATAGCGCCTGCAAGACTGCATGAATACTTCACGCATTGCAGCAAACACAGTGCGGTCACTGCGGTCAGCCTGAAACGCATAGCACCTACAAGACTGCATGAATACTTCACGCGTTGCATCAAACACAGTGCGTTCGCGCAGTGGTCGGTGTGAAACGCAAAGTGCCTACTAGACTGTAAGAATATCTCACGCATTACGCCTAAAACACGGTGCGGTCGGCGCGGCGCGGCGGCGGAAGTTAACATTTTTAAACCACATTTATGATTGTTCTTTCATAATGTTTTCGTTCATTTTTTGTAAATTAAGAACCCTGTCCGCACAGAGGTAGGTTTACGGAACTTAACTTTAGCTTAAAGTTCCGTGAAATTGTGCTAGTAGTGTTGCCGGGGCTTTCCCAAAAAATGTGTCTAACACGAGTGAACGCGTCTTGTGCACCCCTCCCCCTCCGGCACGTTTACTTGATGGTTTTAATTGATGTTTCGAAACGAATGAAAAGGGGGCTGCAAAATACAGGCGGCTCATTGGCGGCAAGTGGGTAAATCCGGCCCTGGCAGGACTAATGTCAGTAAGTGTACATTTCTTTAAAGTAGCATATTCTGATCGCTAAAATGAGCATTTGGAGGGAGAAAAATAAAAATACTTGGTTTCGGTTAGTTAAAGAAGTGTGAAATTGTAGATTCCATATTACAAACTATCTAGGGAATGTGTAATTCGGATCGGAATTTCAGTCAGAATTTTCACGTTGAAAAAATATACAGGAATACTCACGCATATCATTATTAAACAATTTGCAGAACGTATCGAAATCACCCGTGTATCCCTCCAACAATTGACAATGATGATAATAAGAAACGCACGTGTCTTTTGGGTTACGGCACACGTATATGATCTGAAAATTGAATTAGCAAATATTTAATCAGTCTTCAAAAATGAGGAGATATTGCAAATGATTGCCTGTAACCTAAAGGGTGAGGATAATCCCTATTTATAAAAGGATGGACAATTGAATTTAATATTTATACAATAATTCCTACGAATGCTACCTGAGATATTGAAAATATTAAGTTTATCCCATGGAAAAATAGGTTAGAAAAACGTAAATGTAGGCACTAATTATTTTTTGAGCGCCCCTAATTTTGAGTCAGTGATGAAGATGACCAGGAAAGTTCACCTTTTGATTTGACTAATAATCGGATGCAATAATTGTATTTCTTGTTCGCATAATTCTAGCTTCATATGGTGAGTGGCGAGCAAAGACATTTTGGTGGCGGGGCGAGAATGATCTACTATAGATATTTCCCCATTTGAAGCTATGGCGAAGAATCGATCATGAAGTCACTACGTCACTGTTAATGTACTAATTTAGTGACTACGTCATTCTATGTAATATCGAACTCTTGTTTCGAGCCAAAACAAACTAACATAAACTAATGTACGAATTCTTCATGAGCTAATAGAGAATTTTCAGTTGTCTGTAATTTGATTAATTCCGTGTTTAAGTGGAAACTACTGAGTGAACTAAACATGAGGATACCCTTGCTTCATGAATTGAACAATTATTGGAGGAGATGTGACAAAATGATCTAATCTGCTTAAATACGAGTGTTCAAATGGGAAATGCTGCCAGATGACTTCACTAGGCGGTGCATTTCCTCACTTTTAAATCTATTTTTATACGATTCCCCATATCAAAAAATAATTATAAGAAATACTGTGAAATCAGCTCTGTAAGAACTTTCAGACGAAGCAATAAAAAATATGCATGCAAATTCTCCATTGTGTTAATTTATTAAAATTCAGTCATTGACCGATCATAAATCGATTGAAGACACATTAAGCACGAAAATTTTCGATTTAGTTTGTTCACTTTTGAACCGAAGGCTCGATATTATATCGAATGATGTGTAGCCACGAAATCAGTCTGTGGTTGAGAAATGAAAAAATGAAATCTCAGGGAGGAATAAGGTGAAATCTACTTTCATGCGTGGCACATATTTATTCATTGCCAAGAATTTAAGAGTGGAATCAACAACTTAGCAGAACGTGTTCATTCCCAAAGATGATTGTTGACCTTTGATGGAGATCAACCTAAAAGGCAGAGATGGAAAATTTCATGAAAGAGGTGTGTGAAAAAACGGCCAAAAATGCCTCAAGGCATTTTCGAATTTTGATCACTGGGGGTGATACAGTAGCTTCCGAGACGCCCAAAACCGGTCGCCGTTTTGCTTAGAAGCGCCGGGTTGCGACGTTGCCATTTTTTAAAGTGGAAACCTTTAAAAATTCATGTCTCCGCCGCATCTCAACCGATTTCAGTGAACTTTTTTTTAAAATGTTCCTCTTAAATATAGATTTCTAGTGATGTATAGTTTTCAGGGGTTTACTTGGCTTTAAGTGGCACTTACGCGGTTTTAGCAGTTTTTGATAGACACAAAAATTTAGTTTTTATTTTACCTTGATCGTGGAATCGACGGAATCTAAACAAAAACCAGTCTAAATGAAAGTTCAGATTCTCACCTTTCTAACGAGCACAAGATCTTCCCGGGGAAACGTTTAGTTTCCGATATATGACCGCTCAAAGTTGGTCACATGCGCTTTTGCGCAATGTGAATGCGTCTTATCACTGAGTCATTCGCGAACTAGGGGTCCCTAATGTTCAATTTACGTTGAAATAATTACACAGAACAGTAAGGTGTGCAACACGAGCCGTATTTTCACCTTCGACTGGCGATGTGCGACGTTGCCATTTTTTGAAGTGAAAACTCTTAAAAATGCACAACTCCGCTGCATTTCAACCGATTTCAATGAACTTTTTTTTAAAATTTTCCTCTTAAATAGAGCTATCTAATGGCATTTAGGTTTCTGGATTTTATTTACCTTGGGGAGGCACTTAGGTCGTTTATATGGTTGTTTGCAGAGATTTTTCATACAAAAAATAGTGTTGCTATTTTTTTTCTTTCTTTTTTTCCTTTTTTTCGGAAGGGGGTCTGTATTTCCCCCGATTCTTTTTAATATTCAAACTAGATCGGAAGATCACCATCGCTTAAAGTATAATGCAAAAATCTTTGTAAATTAGCAACACCACCTTCTCTTGTACAATGAGAGCGTCGCTTTCAATATTTGTACACGTAAAAACAGTGATTAAAGAATCCCTTTTTTTAAAGTTCTTTCTTTTAAATTTTGCCATTGCAAACCCTCCCACAACCCGCGGGAAAAAGAAGAAAAAAAGAAAGAAAAAAAATAGCAACACTATTTTTTGTATGAAAAATCTCTGCAAACAACCATATAAACGACCTAAGTGCCTCCCCAAGGTAAATAAAATCCAGAAACCTAAATGCCATTAGATAGCTCTATTTAAGAGGAAAATTTTAAAAAAAAGTTCATTGAAATCGGTTGAAATGCAGCGGAGTTGTGCATTTTTAAGAGTTTTCACTTCAAAAAATGGCAACGTCGCACATCGCCAGTCGAAGGTGAAAATACGGCTCGTGTTGCACACCTTACTGTTCTGTGTAATTATTTCAACGTAAATTGAACATTAGGGACCCCTAGTTCGCGAATGACTCAGTGATAAGACGCATTCACATTGCGCAAAAGCGCACACGGAAAAAAATTAAATGTTGCTTTAGCATTTATAATGTTAAAAAAATGTGCGAGAGGATTCAAATGCTGTTTTTACATTGAAAAAAAGCTAACTTAACTACGGCCACGGTTAAATTAACATATTCAAAAGTAAAGTTAGCATTTTTTAATGTAAAATCAGCATTTGAAACATCTCGCACATTTTTCCAGGATTATAAATGCTAAATCAACATTTTATTTTTTTCCGTGCATGTGACCAACTTTGAGCGGTCATATATCGGAAACTAAACGTTTCCCCGGGAAGATCTTGTGCTCGTTAGAAAGGTGAGAATCTGAACTTTCATTTAGACTGGTTTTTGTTTAGATTCCGTCGATTCCACGATCGTGGTAAAATAAAAACTAAATTTTTGTGTCTATCAAAAACTGCTAAAACCGCGTAAGTGCCACTTAAAGCCAAGTAAACCCCTGAAAACTATACATCACTAGAAATCTATATTTAAGAGGAACATTTTAAAAAAAAGTTCACTGAAATCGGTTGAGATGCGGCGGAGACATGAACTTTTAAAGGTTTCCACTTTAAAAAATGGCAACGTCGCAACCCGGCGCTTCTAAGCAAAACGGCGACCGGTTTTGGGCGTCTCGGAAGCTACTGTATCACCCCCAGTGATCAAAATTCGAAAATGCCTTGAGGCATTTTTGGCCGTTTTTTCACACACCTCTTTATTCGAGTGAAATTTATTGAAACTTTTGGGGATACATTCAGGAGGCTAAGAAACGCCTAGAAACAGTGATTCTAAATTCTGAAATTTTTCACCCCAAGCCCAAAACATTCGCCGTGTTGCAAATGTTTTCGTTAAGTTTAGAGGTTAGGTTGGGGTTTTTCTCTCTAAACTCCCCTTTTTGCCCCCTCTTTGTGTCTGGCACCTTCAGTAGAGTAGCATAATACCGCAGCATCAACAGAAAGACGATCTGAAACGCTTTCAGACCTCCAAAGGTTTAATCAATAATTCTAAAAAAATCAATACATTTCAACTTTTGTGAAATTTATTCGAGCCTTATGAAATTTCAAAACATGAAATTTCATTTTCCATCTCTACTAAAGGGTGCTAATGCTTGACTTCCTCACGGATGAAGATGATACTTACTTTCGCTCGCGTCGAGAAATTTTGAAGTTTCTCAGGGAGAAGCCCGAGAGGTAGGTGAGATTTGATGAATCTACGTGTGTTCAACTCGCTGATATATTTCACAGAATCCGTGACGTAATCGGGCACTGAAAAATCTGGTTGCTCTTCATACATCGCCTCATAGTTGAAAAGTGCCGAGTGACTGAAAAATAATGTAAGTTGAGAATTGAAACAATTTTTCTGAAGAAATTTTTTTACTTCACTGGAAAATCTGAGTGATAAAATTTTGAGATAAGGAGTAAATTTAATGGACGTCTTCAACCAGAGTCAGCCTTACCACACTGAAAAAAAAATTGGTAGAATTTTCCATTCCTTCACGCTGAATTTCACACAGTGTAAATTCAGAGTCGCAATTCTGCTGAAAGAAAGGTAAACGTTACTATATACTGGTACAGGTAACCATACCTCTGGCAGAATCGACTTTGAGTTCACGCTGTGTGAAAAACAGCGTGAAGGAATGGTAAATTCTACCAATCTTTTTTTTCAGTGCACCTCAGACATCGTCCAATTTTTGCTCATTTTCAATTTATCCTTTTTTTACGAAAAAACCAGGTAAAATCTTGGATTATATCTATGTAGAACATTCTTCAAATCCCAGAGGAAATGCATGGAAGGTTACAAAAGCTTGCGTTTATTGGATAATCTTATGGAAAAAATAAAACGTGACGGAATAGCAGGCAACAATAAATGCAATAAGTCTGTTCTTAGATGAACCCTTATTCCAAAGTATATCCTCTCTTCTATTCCTTACCCATAGCGGCTCAAGGCAAAACGGCTGACCTCTAATAATCGTAACCTCGAAATAGGACTGGCGATTCTCGTTTTGTATCTTATTTTTTAAAAGAAAACAATGTAGATGAAAATACTTGAGAAATAGGAAATTTGAAGAGAAACAAGTTGCGGTGCTGAAGGCACAGCGACCAAAATAATTTTTCCTACTTCAGAGTTGGTGATAGCTACTTACTCAAGGAATGGAAATCTTTCCGGGAGGAACACTTCTGCTCCTTTGTAGTCTAAATCATTCGCTATACACCAGACCATTTCTTGAGTCCATGTTGTACCTGAGAAATACATAATATACATATCTTAATTATTTCAGCTCTGTTGTGAACATGTGTACATTAAGGTGATTAGTCAAGCTCAAGTGACGTGGTCGAACTGGCATGCAATGTATCGCATTGATTAAGTGCAATATCTCGGCAGATTTTGAATGTTACGTAAAAAAAGGACGAAAGCCCCTGCGCATGAGCCTAAAGAATCATTCTAAACCCAAAAATTAGCAGAATTCAGAGAAATGAAAGCAGAATAGTGTTTGGAAAAAAAACCTCGCATTCGATTTAGCTATCGATTTCTGTATCGAATACAAGGTTTTCCCGAACACTATTCTGCTTCCATTTTTCTGAATTTTGCCGATTTTTGGGTTCAGGTGATTCTTCAGACTCATGCGCAGGGGCTATCGCCCTTTTTTTCTTTTGCTAAAAATCCAAAATCTGCTGAGATGTTAGACCTAATCGATGCGATAAATCGCATGTTAGTTCGACCACTTCACTTGAACTTGACGAATCACCTTAACAAGCAGTAGAGTAGAGTGCTTATACAGATAGAATACTTGGAAAGAGAATAGTAAATTACTCAGTAATACTTGGCAACATGCGACTGGGTAAGATACGCACTATTATTAGTGTGATACAGTGTCAAGGGCCTCTCTGATTGTGAGTCGGAAACGCGTTGCATAATAGGTAATGGAGACTTACAAGGTTGATAGAATTTTACAGTTTCATCTTCCTGAATATCAAGCGTTTCTAGTCTAGATTCCAAGGGGCAAGCACGTTTCTCGGATTAGGTCATGCGATTGCACTTCAGCTGCCTTGCACTTGAATAATAGAACTGCAGTTCTTTCATGCGTGGGTGAGAGAGCTCAGTTTAAGGAAATGACCGATAATCTCCAGTTAAGCCAGTGAATGGAAGTATGAGCAATTAATTGACATAGCTTTAGATAACTTGGCTTATCGACAGTCTAAGTCCGCAACCATGCTGTCTTGCTAAGGAAGAACGCCGTATGAACATTCGAGAGTTGCCAAATTTCCTTCGATAAAACGTTCATTTTTAAGGAAAGTAATGAATCTTTTTCCTTGCGTTTTTCAGGGCCTTTAGGTGAAATTACGAGGAAAGTTATCTGAAAAATTGGGAGGAAAATATTTATGAGCTGACCAGTAAATTCGTCCTTTATCGAAGGAAATTTGGCAACGCCTGAAGGTTCATACGGCGTTTTTCCTTAAAGCACGGCAGCATGTATCTCGAATTGCGACGTTGCTGCTTTCATGTCATACTTTACTTTTTAAATAGAAAACTACTCAACAGCAATTCTTAAAAACTGTCGTGATATTTCTTCTGTGTGCGGAGAAAATTCTGTAAAAACTGCAAGAGGAATGATGTCAATTTTTTCTCCTTTAAAAAAAAACCAAATATGAGCGGAGATTTTCAAACCCCGCAGATGAGATACGTGGTTGCGGACTTACACCGTCGTTATGGACGAACTAGACATTGACCTTAGACTTGGGATTGATATAAGTTACCTACCGGAAGTTCAGAAAAGTCATTACAGGAAAAAATGGAGAAAAATGATAATGTTTTCACAGTAATTCAGGATGATGACTAACCAAGCCGTAAGTTATGCAGGCATAAGTAGGCCAACCTTGAGTTTCATCAATGACTCAGAGGGAGAGGAGTGCAATGTTGCAATCTATGAAGAATTTAGCTCATTGCATTAATGAAACTAGTTCTCTAAACGACAATTTTTCATGACTGAAATCCATTTCACCACTAAAAAACTTCGCATGTTCTCCACGAAGTATATTTTATTGTGAACACATGGACATTTCAACACCGTAAAATTCCTATCAAGGCAACAATTTAGCACTGGAAAGAAAAAAATATTCACTTTAAATATAGACCAGTGTTAAATATAGACCACGCAGTTCAGTGTGATTCCCATTACCGCAATTTCGGGTCCTGTAACCGTGCCTTCGGCTAATACAACCAAACTACTTTTACTGTTCGGTCCATGCATCTGAAACTTTTCTGCTATCTAGTAGATTGATCAAGTATTGATATTTGGAACTGAACAACTTTTTCGTAGGTTTAAATGGCAGATCAATCGATAAATCGCAACGCACGCCACGCCACTGGTACGCTTTATTCGCGAATGCTTTCAATTAAATTATTAATTATTTAATTATTATATATAATTATGAATGATTAATTATTACTTTTGAATTAAATGTTGAGATATTGGATACGCGATGTCTTTTAAACAGACCATCCGTTGTTTTTAGACATGAAACCAAATTTGCGACGTTGTGGAATGTGGAAACTGTAAAAGTTAACCGTGCACCTCTACTACGTGCTCAGCAAGAATCGCATAACTACATACGGTTTTTATTGGAACTAAGAGGTTATCTCTTAACCCGTTAATATAATCTTTAACTTTGTTCACGCACCGTGGCTGCAATTACGAGGCGGAAATGACCGATTATCGATATTTCCTCATTCGAAATCATGGCAAAAGATCGATTATTAAGGTGTCCGTTGCGAACACTCTGTTTATCAATTCTTTTCCACGAGTTTAAATGGCAGATCAATCGATACATCACAAAGTAAGCTACGCCACTACGATGCTGTCGTGTCAAAAACAGAATTGACCTTGACTCACTTACTGATCTGCCTCCGAAATCCGATGCTGCCTAATTGAGAAGATTCAGTGTGTGGATCGCGTATAATACACGGTGATCCATAAGTTTCACCTGGTGTTGGTACTTTACAGCGTTAATGACGTTTAGCTTTAGCTAAAAAAAGTAAATGATTTTAAACGTTTATCGAATTCTTCAAGTGATACACATTGCCGTAATTACGTGTCTGAAATCATAACAAGACTATTCGCCATTTTTGTTACGAGTTTAAGCTTTTTTAATGTTTTTAGCGAGAACGCAAGCTAGCATTAGGCTGCAATTTCGATGTGTTTAGTGTAATATTTGAGAGGTTAATGAGTAAAAAAGCACCCTTTAGGGCCCGGGACCGTCCATAAATTACGTGACGCACTTTTTCGGCATTTTGCCCCCCCCCCTCCCTTGTGACACTCTTGTGGGGTAGTTCCCTACCCTTTAATACGTAAAACAAAATGGTGTGATGCTCTCCTCGACCCTCCCTCCCCCTAGAACGTTACGTAACTTGGACGTATTTATGCTAAAAGGAACTATGTTACGCTCAATCTCTATGCACATAGTTCCTTTTAGCATAAACATGTTCATTTATGGACGGCCCCTAATCTTCTTTATGCTCATTTCAATATGACCATCGCGATTTTCGTGGTATTTGCATTCAACCAGTCTATTCACTCGGCTGTATCTCTTGCGCACAACAGACCCAGTAAATCCCAACCAGGTAATAACGTTTTTTCTCAACACTGCCGAAAACATTTTGAAACATTGAGAAAAACATTGCTAAAACCGCGCCATTATGTTGCCCTACTCGCAGCAGTTGCCTTCTTCCGATGAGCACCACAGCTGTGAGGGGAAACGAAACTGAAACGCCTTCAATTTTTCAATATGCAACACGCACATTCATCATGCGCGAATAGTTGCATCCGGGCGGTGGTATTGACTGGACTATATTTTGCAATTTGGAACTATAAATTGGAGCCCGGTTAAACAACAACGTATGTGCCATTAGTTTCCCTAGGCACATAAGTGTTTTTCCAGAAGACCCAGAATGTATAGTTCCAAATTGCAAAATACAGTCCAACTTTGCGTCACGTGCCTGGCCTGAGATCCTCATTTTAGACTGTTTGAAAGAGCTGGGATGATATCTTATACCTGGGAGATTAGTTCTACGCATGGACATGGATAAAAGGAGAAAGCAAATTGTAGGGCCTTGAGGTTGTGCGGGTATTGAACTTGAGTCCCTTAAGATGCATTTGCGTTAATCTGAACTATATCAATGGTGAAACTACCAGACCACGTATCTTGTTTACGGTGTTTACTAATATCCGCTCTCATTTTTGAAGGAAAAAAAATCAATATCATTCCTTGAAGTTTTTCCTTGAAGTTTTCTTCACACAGAGAAAAGAAATCACGGAGGTTTTCACGAATTGACGTTGAGTAGTTTTCCATTCAAAAAATAAAGCGTGACAGGAAGTCTGCATTATCGCAAACCGAGACAAGTGGTCTGGTAGCTTCACTGTCTACATGCTACTCAATTAAATCAAACGGAACAATGTACGTAGAATTTAGTGCGCCTTATATTTCCATTTGATTCCAATCATTGCTCCCAGTTCCTTCTAGAGCACAATACTGCCTAGCTAAGGAAGAACGCCATATAAAAATTTGAGTACAGCCAAATTTCCTTCAGTAAAATGTATGGTTTTGAGGAAAGTTATGAATATTTTTCCTTGAAATTTTCAGAAACTTTAAGTGAAATTACGAACTAAATCATCTGAAAAATTGGAAAGAAAACATCTAGAAGTTTACCAGGAAATTCGTGTTTTATCAAATGATATTTGGCAACGCCTGAAGGTTTTTATGATGTTTTTCCTGAGCATGGCAGAATTACCTTGTGCATAACAGACGAAAATGAAATAAGGGATTTTGATTGGTACCTGTTTTGGGATAACTGCAAACGAAGACGTCATCATCTCTGATATCCATCTGTTGGATTCTGTCTCCGAATTTTTTGAAGTAGTCGGGCATGACGGCCCCTTTGACTCGTACGTATCCATGGCGAAATTTGTTGACGAAGAGAGTGTTGAGCACTTTCCCGCATTCCGTGTCGCTTTCAATTTTCTCGTACTTGAGAGCCTCCGGCATTTTCGGCGCCTGTGTAATATTGATTGTGAAGAGGTTATTAATGTACTTATCAAAGTAAACGTGTTTGCAGGTGTCTGGTGAAGTGGATAATTTCACCCATGAATTATGATCGCTGGAAAAAAATTGTTCATGAGGAGCGTTAATTTTTCAAGTGATTGTAAATCGGTAGGAAAAAGACAGAATGACACAGGCGTGCGCAAAAATAGGCCAATGTTTGTACCATATGCTGTACCGTTAGTTTTAGCGCTAAGTTTTAAATGAAAAAATAAAATTGAAGAAAGTAGCCACTGAAAAAAAAGTAGCTTGGATTAAGCATGATGATTCTTGAATTTGCCGCCAAGATTTTGTTTTTTACCTTTCTTTAGGCTGACTTTTTTTTGATACAAGAAAAATAATGTTTGATATACTTACCTTCACTTTGAAAATTTGCCGTGAAACTTAAGGGCTACATTTTGCAATGAGAGATCACTAGCTCCATCTGGCTCATCGTTGCCCTGGTAAAAATTGGCAGTAGAATCTGTGTTCCAAAATACCATAGACCTACAGCCGGCTGTAAGATTTCCAATAGCTTCTTATAGCCGGCAACACAATTTCTTATAGCCTTTTATAGCCAATGGCGATTAAGCAACCGCCTGGCGATAAAGTGTATGCTAAAAGTTACTAATTACGGATGCTAGGACTCAGTGAGTTTTTGGACTACCGCTCTCTTTTTGGGCCGTAGTATCTTGATTTATTTTGCGAGAAAAGCTCCGTACTTTTGAAGGATGCCTGTCCTTCCTAATATGTTGGAGCACCTTCAATTTCGTATGATACTGTGCAATACCTCTGGTGTGAAATAGTTGCTTCACGTGCCGTGGTACGCTGCGGCGCGGCGCGGCGGGCGGGCAGCCAGCGCGAAAAGCGCATTGGCGCCTACAAACCTAACAGGGATACTTCACGCATTGCGCAATGCGTGAAGTATTCCTGTTAGGTTTGTAGGCGCCAGTGCGCCGCCGCTCCACTTTGTGTTATTAGGCTCCAATATTTAATCTCGTGGAGTCAGCGTTTTTCAACTCATGACTTTGAAATGTTTGCACACTCTGTATGGATTATTCTCATTTTAATTGATGAAATAAATTATGTAGTGAAGGAAAATATAATGTGCCTTTTGTAAATATTAAGGTGATTCCGTACAAACTTAAGGATTTACAAAGCACACGGATTTCTATACACAATTTCTTACAGCATGTTATAGCCGATGCTAAAAAAGCAGCAGCTAGGCGATAAAGTGTAAAGCCCGGCGATAGAAACTATAGCCCGGCTGTATAATTTTTTATCGCTTCGTGTAGCCCGGCCGTATGATTTTTTCACTTTCTACAGCCAGCTATATGATTTTCTATCGCCTTCTTCAGCCGGCTATAAGAACTCCTATGGTATTTTGAATCGCAGTTCCTATCGCCAATTTTTACCAGGGTGAACCAACTTAAGCTCATTAAGTTTCTTTATGCATATGGATGCTTCTAAAGATGTGAAAAGATAATGGTTCCTTTTCACAGAGCAATATTCAAATATTGGTTCTCATTAAAAAACATGTCTATAATGAATGCATGAGAAAATGCGTCTAAGTTATTTACCGGGTAGCAAACTTCAGTCTGTATCTATTTTGTAATCGGAACAAAAACAATTATATTAAAGAAGAATAGCTTATCTTCTAAGGTGTTTACCGGAAATAATTTTGAAAAATAGTTGAGCTTCTTAGAGAAAACAAATTTAAATCACAAATGTGGAAAATTCTAGAAGGGATGCGCGGTTTTTTACTGTTTTTCTATTTATATGCACTGCCGGCACGTGACATGAGCAAAACCAAACAAATCAGTTTCACTAGTTCTTTTTCGAGCATGACCGAAGTATTTTCCTCAACTGTAGATCACTGATCGTGCAAAACTTAAAATCTTCAAATTCGTCAGCTGCCCAGCAGTCATCCATCATTTTGTCCGATTTCCTCATGGACTTTAAAAAATCATTGGAATTTTCTAAAATCCTCGACTAAATTCATTTTTACGGAGATAATCTTAACAGTGCACAGTAGCTATGTTTTGACATGTTCGTGCTTACTGAATAATTTAAATAATTTATTTTTTAAAATATATTTTTGAGGTTCTTTTCAAACAAGTTTTTAGATGTGAACTTAAATTATGCTTGGAAAGTGAAAAATTTGAGGCAATTTTAACAGTGGCTACATGCAAAACAAAAAACACCAAGCAATGATAAAAAAAATATCGGTTTTTAAGTTTTGCAGGATCTAAAGGTGTCAAATTTTCGTATTGAAATTTCATATTTTTTTTTTTGAAAAAAGAAAAAAATACGTTCATCCATAACCTCTTGATAACGCCAATTCTAGATGTAGACGGCCTTTACTGAAAATAAGTTTGATCGTATGATTCGAATATTTAATGTTCCATATCGATCATGACGTGAATTGCGATGTATCGATTGTTATACCATTTAAACCTATGGAAAAGGATCGATAAACAGGGTGTTCGCAGCGAACACCTTAGTAATCGATTCTTTACCATAGGTTTAAATGTCATAACAATCGATAAATCGCAATTCACGATAGGCCACTTTATCATGATGATCTGTTGACAACCCGAACTTTCGGTTTGTCGAACCTATTTAGTTTGATAGATATGGAGCACCAAATGTTTAGTATTAAAATCGAACTTTTATATCAGTGACTGCTCGAAATAGATCAAGGTAACGAATTCCTATAGGAAATTTTAATTCGTAACCCTGACCTTCTCTACCTTGCTAAAGAAAAGCACAGTAACTACCAATTCTTTCAAAGTGAACTTACTTTAAGATTCTCTTGATAACCTGAACTGCTCCTATGTCTTGCCGGGTTTTCACTCACTATTATCTCAATGAGCCTTTAGAAAAAGTTTAAAAGTAGAAGTGTAGGTCTCACGTTTTTTCCTCGAAATCTCAATTGGCAAACGATTCACGTGATGAAAGTTTGGAAATGTATTTTTTCCATTTTATCACGAACTTTAAGTATTGTATACAATCATACTGTGTCCAAGATTTGGTTCCCTGACTTCCCGAGACCTCGTGGAATTTTCAACCGAGAATATTCAAGTTATAGAAATTCACGTCATTTTGTAAAGTCGTTGGTGCGTAAAAGCACACCTCTAGGTGGCAAAAGAACATGGAGCTAACATAACAATTGAACGTCGCAATTTAACATTGACTCAGTGCGAGCCCGAACGCTCTTTAACAGAAAACATATACTGCGTAAAGCGCTTTTATTCGCATTTTATGTAAGGTGCCTCTCTAGTCAGCGTTTTTTGCATCAATTTTTCATCATTTTCATTTCATCAATCATTTTTTAAAAGCATGAGCTTTTAAAATAAAACAACATACGATAAATAACTATCTTCTCCCAATATGCTGTGCTGTTCCTTAGCAAGGCCGTATTCCAATCCAAAAAGTCGTTATAGTATTTCACAGATTATATTCCTCGGCACTGACACAAACTCCACTTCACAAAACCATGCGCCAACCAACTGATTTTTACCTATAGCTGGATAACTCGAAGTAAAATCAGAGAGATTGAACCGTAGTGGTGGCCGGAAACTCAAAAACAAGTAGCACCTTGTAATGGAAAATCGGAAAAATCAACAATTGCACCGCGAGATGATGAGGAAAAATTGATGATTGCGTATTATTCCACTGTCAGTCCACTCGCGTATTCGTGTCTGCTCGTACTGACCAGTTCCAACTGATTTTACATGTGGGTCCGTCAATTCACGGCTACTATCTTCATCACTATCCGCGTACGTTCACAGATGTAAACAAACGGCGCGGAGGAGCAAGGATGTCAAATTCTGCAGGTAATTACGAATTTTTTTGGTGCTTATCAACTACATTCAGAAATGTCTTTGTAAATATTACTAAATATGCAACAATGAAAAATTTGCATGCAAAGTGTTTATTGCTTCATCTAAAAGTGCCTAAGGAGCTGATTTCACAGTATTTTTTAAAAAAAAAATTCTGAAATGGGAAATAGTATAAAATAATATTTAAAAGTGAGGAAATGCACCGCCTAATGACGTCATCTGACGGAATTTCCCATTTAAACACATGTATTTTAGAAGATTACATCATTTTATCCTCTCCAATAATCGTTCAATTCATAAACCAAGGGTATCCTCGTGTTCAGTTCACTCAGTAGTTTCCTTTTAAACACGAAATTTATCAAATTTCAGACACCTGCAAATTCTCTATTGGTTCGCATTAAGCGAAAAGGAACCAGCGTGATTACAGAGTTTCCAAAAGCATGTAACTTCTTCTTTCCGTCTAAAAATACTCAATATATGTACAGTGTTAATTTACACAATTACATTCCTTTAACATTACTAATTTTTTGGTGGAAAACAAACACTGTTTGCTATTCCGAAAGATTTTTTAGATAAACACGAAGAAGTGACATTTTCACAACAATGTAAACGCGTTGGTTTCTTTTTGCTTTATGCAATCCAATTAATCTTGTTGGTCGTCATATACATAAGGGTGGCCTAAACCTGAGGAGAAAAATAGCCTAATAGATTGATTGAGATATGTTTTTCAATTGCAAGCCAAACAATTCTGTTTTTTAAATCCAAAACAAATTCACTTCAGCTGCAACGCTGCAAGCTGCAGCGTGGATGAAACTATGAAATTCTCATTGATTGTATTACCCTAACCCGTGAAACGGTAAGGCACGGCGCGAGTAATATGCCACTGATGCAGAATCCTCAAGACATTTCCGCTTATGCAATAACCTTCTCGCGCTGGATGCTAAACTGTGCACGAAATTGAGAATGGAAACAAAAAAATTTAGAGCGAGTAATTAACGATATTATTTGGATTTATTTTATTTTATGCAATATATTGAGACAAGCATATAATTGTGAAGGAATCTGCTCTTACGGGGCTAGTTTTGGAAGAAAGAAAGTAATAGAAAAGCAAATTCGATGAAACGAAAAAATAAACCCCTATGTCAGCGAAGGGGAAAGGAATTTTGTTTTTTTGGCGTATGTTATTCGAAAATTTCCAAAAATTGCCTTATAGACAACAATATGAAATTTTTTGGCATTACGCGGCTCTAAAGGAACCTATGTCTAAGCTTGAGCTTCCCAAGAATGTGAAATAGAAGAATCTGGCTTCCTCTAAACAATTTGCACAATGGAAAATAGGCGGACATTTTTGCGTTGCATGGCCTGATGGAAGGAAACAGAGACCAGATGGGAGTTATGACGGTAGGAAGTTCGCAGTTGAAAAAGTCCTAATTTTAAGAAAATCCATCTACAGGTCGAATCGGACATGTTTAGGTCTCAAAAAAATAAAAAATAAAAAATAAATGGAAATCAAAAATCTTGGAAGGGTCATCAAATCGTCACCTCCCGACCTCCCGGCCAAAGTATCACAAGCGCCATGTGGCGTTCCAAGACTTCCGGCGACATTTAATTTTTTTACTGAGAAATTGTTGGTTGAATCTGTGTGGAAATTTCACTGAATCTTATCGGCAGTATAAAGAAAATCCAGTGCAATTTTCCAACAGCTTCGTTGAACTATTTTTCTGTGAAAAAATAAAATGGCGGCAGAAATTTTGAAATGTCGCATGGCGCTTTTAACTAATACTTTGGCCGGAAGGTGACAAAATGGTGCTAGGGTTTTTCTATTTGTGGAGAAACCCAGCGGCTCGAAAATTTCAACTCTTGTCCATAAATAAAACCGAAATTTAAAGAAAAGAAGTCTAAATGAATAGCACATAAAACAAAAGCATTTAGGCTCCTATGAAATGAAGAGCAATTTGCGCAATTCTATCAACAATCGATGGCGCTTGCAGGTTTGGAATTTTCCTCTTTAGTTAGGTATCGCATTATAAATACTTTTTTCTTCATTCCATTTTCTATAGCCTCTCAAAATTTCATCCAAGCTCAAGTATCTTCTACCGCCAGTTTTGCGGATGGATATCATACAGATACATTGATCCATGGCTGTTTTGGCAATGCTGCGTTTAAGAGTGAATGGTTGCTACAATGTCATCGGCGGTGATGATTATAATAAGTGAAGGTCGCACTGGTTTATGTTTTAGAACCGCACAGCACGGGCACGGTCGCAGCCGGCCGGCGCTCATCACACAAGTTACGACGGAATGTTGCCAGCTTTGAATAGAAAATATATTTTTCAGTCTTGCCATCGTCTTCAAGGAGGTATGCCCCCCCCCTTCATAATTATTCGATGAATAGAAACATCGGCATAAGAAGGTTTTTATTACATGTTATTTAATTTCCAGTTACGCGCACTTTCAAAGTTGCAATAACTGGTTCATTTTTCTTGTATTTTACTCAGTTATTCTACATATATACGGTGCTCCCAAACATGTTTGAAATCGACGTTGGTCGTGAGCAAAAATTTGAGTCGGAACTCCAAGAGGAGCACCACCAGATGCTAAAAGCCGCAATTTTGAATAGGTTGTGGAAGCTCTGCAAGAAATAGAGATTTAATGGTCTAAAAGGTTTTTTTTTTCATGGAACTGACGAGTGGATCTGTAAGCAGAATTCGCTCGGCCGTAATCCGTGAAAATTTGTAAGCCCGAGCATGGATGTCTACCAAACTCCCTGATGTCTTCGGACAATAAATAGTGCCTATAGATGGCTGTAGATTCCTAAAGGAATAGAAGCCACTAAACTCTCAAAAAAAAAAACAAGCAGTTCCAACGCCCAAGCGTTGGAGGGCGCTTCTTTGACAAAGCATATTATTACCAACCTATATACCCGAAGACTGACGAAGATGGAATTTAAAGTATGATTCTTTAATCGCAAAACCCTTCATAACTTCAAATCGATCGCGAGGATCTGAAACTTTCCCTACGCACTTTGTGATGGTTTTAAGTATGGGGTGAATGGAAACGTAGAGGATGCACTGTAAATCAGACGACGGGAGAGAGCGGCGGAACCTCTAAAGCTGGTGCGTCAACGCGATCTAGCGGACAGCGGCGCGGCGTCGCGACGCCGCGAGGTAGGGCGCGCAGGGCGCGGGGGAGCGGGGCCGCGTGAAGAGGAGTTCAGCAGAGGGCAGGGGAAGCGCGGGTCGCGGGGAAGAGAGGGACCGACCGGCCGGCGGTGACATCGGCACTGGCTGGACCCATATTCACGGCGTGAACACTCTAGGCAGCGCTAATGTCTCCGCTAACTGGAGTTGGGGGTCCTTATTCATTCTCATGGTCCATGACATAACCTTAAACCTTCCGGTCAATGCCGCAAACAGCTGACGTGTCGATGCTGCGCCAAGAAAATGAACCAATCACAAAGTAGCACAGTAATACGTCACTAAAATGAAGAGATCACGTGACTGTTCGTAATATTTTCAAATCGATCTGAAAGTACTGCCT